GCTCCAGTGAGCAGAGGGCCAGGAGGGGTGGGGGAGACGCGTGGCCGCACAGCTCCAGTGAGCAGAGGGCCAGGAGGGGTGGGGGAGACGCGTGGCCGCACAGCTCGAGTGGGCAGAGGGCGGGGAGGGGTGGGGGAGACGCGTGGCCGCACAGCTGGAGTGGGCAGAGGGCGGGGAGGGGTGGGGGAGACGCGTGGCCGCACAGCTGGAGTGGGCAGAGGGCGGGGAGGGGTGGGGGAGACGCGTGGCCGCACAGCTCGAGTGGGCAGAGGGCCGGGAGGGGTGGGGGAGACACGTGGCCGCACAGCTCGAGTGGGCAGAGGGCCGGGAGGGGTGGGGGAGACGCGTGGCCGCACAGCTGGAGTGAGCAGAGGGCCAGGAGGGGTGGGGGAGACGCGTGGCCGCACAGCTCGAGTGGGCAGAGGGCCGGGAGGGGCGGGGGAGACATGTGGCCGCACAGCTCGAGTGGGCAGAGGGCGGGGAGGGGTGGGGGAGACGCGTGGCCGCACAGCTCGAGTGGGCAGAGGGCCGGGAGGGGTGGGGGAGACACGTGGCCGCACAGCTCGAGTGGGCAGAGGGCCGGGAGGGGTGGGGGAGACGCGTGGCCGCACAGCTGGAGTGGGCAGAGGGCGGGGAGGGGTGGGGGAGACGCGTGGCCGCACAGAGACGTGGGCGCTACGGGAGTTCTCTAGGGCCGAGGAGGTTTTAGCGCTGACAGTGACCGCTGAGGCCATTGTCTCTCAAACGTCGGTTTTCCCGTAGCCTGCGTGCCACTCCCGGGAAAGGGCTCTGGGCTCCTGGCTGGCCGCCGGGTGATGCAGCGAAGCAGGCCTGCTCACCGGCCCGAGCTCCCCCTCCTCCGAGGGAAGGAGCTTGAGGCACTCACACTGGGCCACAGGACCTGCTCTGCCCCGCGGGGGCTGGCGATGCCCGGGCTCGCCGTGAGCCCCCAGGGGCTCTGCCCTGACTGCCACACCGTCTCAGCACAGTCCTCCACGTGCCACATCCGGAACCCACCCGCTTCCCCGAGCAGCCGCGGCGGCCCAGAGAGGAGACGAGGCTGGGTGCAGGGGCCTCTCCCGGGACCCCACCATCTCCAGCCACTGTCACCCCAGGGCTCCAGCCGCCAGGACGCGCCCAGAACCTCCCAGGGTGCTGGCTGTGAGGCAGGGGACGGCTGCTCTCTTGGGTCAAGGCCTTCGGGAGACCCCTGCCGCTCTGTCGGCTCAGGTTCCCGACTCTGACTAAGCCTTCTTGGCCGGCGGCTGGGCCGGGCCTCGGCCGACAGCTCAGCCAGCTCTGCACCACGCCACGCCTGCGCCGGTGACCTCCAGCCCTTGTGTTATCACACACCTCCGTGATCACGAGTCCCTGCCCAGAGGCCTTTCCCGCAGACCCCTGCTTGCGGTGACAAGGGAGCCGGGATGCTGCGTGTACGGCATCAGCCCCGTCCTCACCAGGGCCTCCTGGTGCCATCACGGCTGGCCGGCCACCCACCCTTTCCCACAGCCCTCCGCAGCTTCTCCAACAGCTGGGGCAGCGGCGGGTGAGCCGGCCTGCACACCACACGCACACCCAGCGGCTCTCAGTCCCCAGAGCACTGGCGGGAGGGTGGACGCGTCCATCCTGGCGGCTCCATCCCAGCCCGGAGCTGCCCTCTGACCCCCTGCAGCGCGGGAAGGTGCGTCCTGGCCTGGTGCCCAGGGCTGTGCATGTGACCTTGGGCAGCCCCCCACTTCTTGGGGCCAGCTGCTCCCCTGCGAAGCACCCCAGATCTCCGTGAGCTCTCACACTCCAGCTCTGGCAACCCTGACGTGGAGAACGTCACACCAGCTTTGGTGGCGGCAACCAGACGGGAACCCGGGAAGCAAAGCCAACCAGAGCCGGCAGGGATGACGCCAGACAGGACACCGGCGCCTTTCACAAACACGCGTGACGCGAACCAGGCCATAAACCGCTGCGGCTTAGAGAAAAAGAAAAAAAGCCAGAACACTGGCACCGCCTCACGGCTGAGCACCGAAGCCAAGAACGCTAGGCCCAGTTAACCGGGAAGGAACCCGAACTCCTCTGCCCCCCCCCCCCCATCCACACGCCCAAGAGAACCGCGGGACCTCCTCCCCGCAGTCTCTGGGCTCAGACCCACCCGGACAACTCGCTCCTCCGCCCGACGGGCAGGTGACCAGGGCCAAGGTCACGGGGAGGGAGCCCACGGCCCCCGCACCCCCTGCGCTCGGCCCTGGGTCCGGCCGCCGCCGCGCTCGGCATCCCTGGCGCCCCCGGACCAGCGACTCCCGGTTAGGGACGCATCCAACGCCGCCGCCCCCCTCCCCCTCCCCCGTCCCCACAGGCTGCTCTGGGTCCTCGGGGGCCGGAGCCGGCGACCCCGGCCCCGCACCCCCTTCGCTCGGCCCTGGGACGGCCGCCGCCGACCCCGGCCCCGCACCCGCCGCGCTCGGCATCCCTGGCGAGAGGGCCAGGCTAAGCGATGCTCCCCGCGCCCCCGGACCGGCGACTCCCGGGCTAGGGCCGCCCCGGCGCCGCCCCCCTCCCCCTCCCCCGTCCCCACAGGCTGCTCTGGGTCCTCGGGGGCCGGAGCCGGCGACCCCGGCCCCGCACCCCCTTCGCTCGGCCCTGGGACGGCCGCCGCCGACCCCGGCCCCGCACCCGTCGCGCTCGGCATCCCTGGCGAGGGGGTCAGGCTAAGCGATGCTCCCCGCGCCCCCGGCCCGGCGACTCCCGGGCTAGGGCCGCCCCGGCGCCGCCGCCCGCCCCGCGCCCCGGCCCCGGCCCCGCCCCGGCCGCGCGCCCCCGCCCCCGGCCCCGGCCCGGCCGCGCGCACCTCCTCGGCCCCGGCCCCCGCCCCGGCCCCGGCCCCGGCCCGGCCGCGCGCACCTCCCCGGCCCCCGCCCCGGCCCCGGCCCGGCCCGGCCGCGCGCACCTCCTCGGCCTGCTTGCGCAGCGCCTTCTCGCGCTCGTACTGCGTGAGCAGCTGCTCGTTGTCCTCGCGCAGCAGCTCCAGCTCCACCTCGTGCTCCTGGTTCTCGCTGAGCACCGAGTCCAGGTTCTCCAGCACGTTCACCACCAGCGGCATCAGCTCCTTGACCACCTCCTCGTCGTAGCAGTGGATGAGGCGCTCGAACTCGCGGTAGATGGAGCCCGCCAGGCCCGACACGCGCTCCGACATCACCGAGCCCGAGCAGTAGTCGTCCTGGTAGACCACCACGCCGCCGCCCTCGTCCATCGGGATCTCCATCATCGCGGCCACCGCCGCCGCCAGCGCGGCCCGCTGTCCGGCCGGCGCGCCCGGCCCGCCCTGGCTGCCCGGGGGTGCGCAGGCCGCGGCGTCGCCTCGGGCGCCGCCGCCGCTGAGGGGGAGGCTGAGGCGACTCTGCTGCCGCTGCCGCCGCTGCCGCCGCTGCCGCTGCCGCGCCCGTCACTCAGCCGCCGGAAGTCCCGCCCCCGCCGCGCCGCCGGGGGTCGCAGCGCCGTGACGTCAGCGGAAGCGGGCTCCGCGCCGGAAGCGCACCGGAGCCGGAAGGGCGGTTTGCGGCCGCGCCGGGCGGTGCGCGCGGACGGCGGCTTCCAGGCCGTAGCGGGTCTGGGGCTCCCGGGTGACCGCGCCCTCCGCTCGCCCGGGAAGCGGCCTGCGGCCCCGCACCCCGGGCCGACCCCGGCGCGGCTCTTGTCGGCCGTGGGCACGTGTCGAGGCCACCTAGTGGGTTTCCAAGTATCCGCTTTTTGTTTCTCTGATCTCGTTCAAAACTGTGTCGGAAACGGGGTCGAGACGCGTCTGTTAAAAGCAGGGACTCCGTGCCCGGAAGGGGCGGGCGTCGAGGCGCGTCCAGCCCAGCCCGCGGGGTCGCGGGGGTCGCGGAGCCAGCCCCTGCCGGTGCGCCCGGGACCCCGCGGCGCGCGTGCGACACCCGGCTGGGGCTCCTGGCTTCGGCCGGCCGCTGGGGGATGAACCAGCTGATGGGAGATCTTTGTCTGAAAGTGCCTTTTATGCAAAAAGTTTTTTCATCAACCATTTAAAAAATTTTTTTAAAAAGATTATTTGAAAGACTTGGAGACCGAGAGGGAGGCCTTCCATCCCCCGTTCCCTGCCCCCAGGGCTGGGCTAGGCTGAAGGCTTTATCCGTCGCCCCGTCCTCTGTGCTTTCCCAGGCACGGGCTGGAGGTGGAGCCGCCAGGACAGGGACGCTGGCGCGGCCGGCGGTGGCGTCAGGAGCCCTGCCTTGATAGGTGCGCATCTCTTAGGTTTTCAGTTCTCTCCTTTTTTAATCTAAATCTGGTACCTGCAGCCTTCGGGGCGCGGCCGCAGTCTGCCCCTGGAGACCTGTGTGTGACCACACACCCAGACGTTGTGAACCCAGGACTTCACTTACATTAGGGACGGCTTAGAGTCGGCCCCGAGCCTCTCATCCTGACCTGCACCACGGCCGCCCTGGAGCCGATCCCTCCCCGTCACCCAGCGGGCTGCGCGCCCCGGGCTGAAGTCCCGCGTCAGGCGGCCTGGGCTCTGCGCGCCCCGGGTCAGGCGGCCTGGGCTCTGCGCGCCCCGGGCTGAAGTCCCGCGTTCAGGCGGCCTGGGCTCTGCGCGCCCCGGGCTGAAGTCCCGCGTCAGGCGGCCTGGGCTCTGCGCGCCCCGGGCTGAAGTCCCGCGTCAGGCGGCCTGGGCTCTGCGCGCCCCGCGTCAGGCGGCCTGGGCTCTGCGCGCCCCGGGCTGAAGTCCCGCGTCAGGCGGCCTGGGCTCTGCGCGCCCCGGGCTGAAGTCCCGCGTCAGGCGGCCTGGGCTCTGCGCGCCCCGGGCTGAAGTCCCGCGTTCAGGCGGCCTGGGCTCTGCGCGCCCCGGGCTGAAGTCCCGCGTCAGGCGGCCTGGGCTCTGCGCGCCCCGGGTTGAAGTCCGGCGTTCAGGCGGCCTGGGCTCTGCGCGCCCCGGGCTGAAGTCCCGCGTCAGGCGGCCTGGGCTCTGCGCGCCCCGGTTGAAGTCCCGCGTCAGGCGGCCTGGGCGCGGCCTGGGCTCTGATCCTTCCCCCTCTCCAAGTCTGCACAACCTCTCAGGAGGGTGAGCTGCTCCACGGAGGTGTGACAGCACCGGCAGGCAGCTGAGCGGTCAGTGGGGAGGCTGACCGAGCCCACAGGGAGCCCCTGTTTGCAGCGGTTTCTCAGCCCCTGCTGCCACCATGGGAACTTTTATCACTGACAGGATTGGGGCAGAACGCCTCCTTAAAACTAATTACAGCAAGTTTTTAAATACTTTAAAGAGACAGAGAGCTCTCCCATCTGCTGGTTCACTCCCCAAATGGGCACAATGACCACGGCGGGTCTGGTCGGAAGCCAGGAGCCAGGAGCTTCTTCCAGGTCTCCCACGTGGGCGCAGGGGCCCCAGCACTTGGGCCATCTTCTACTGCTTTCCCGGGTGCATTAGCAGGGAGCTGGATCGGAAGTGGAGCAGCCGGGACTAGAACTCGCGCCCATATGGGATGCCAGTGTCGCAGGCAGCATCTTTACCTCTACTGCACCATTTCTGGTCCCAAAGCAAAATCCCACAAAAGGCCACGTGCCGGATAATTCCTGCTCACTGAAGGGTGCTCCTGGCTCTCACCGGGAAGAGCCTTCCTTTCAGGTTTGAAGGCATGGTGACACTTTGCGTCTCATCATAAGGCCCTAAAATTAGAGATGGCCACAGACCCTCCATAGCTTTAGTTTAAAAAAAAAGATTTATTTATTAATTTGAAATAAATTTATTATTTGAAAGATGGAGTTATGGAGGGATAGAGAGAGAGATAGAGAGAGAGAGAGAGTCTCCCATCCTCTGATTCACTCGCCAAAAAGCTGCAACAGTCGGGGCTGTGCCGATCCAGAGCCAGGAGCCTGGAGTTTCTTCTGGGCCTCCCACGCAGGTGCAGGGCCCAAGGACCTGGGCCATCTTCTGCTTTCCCAGGCCACAGCAGAGAGCTGGATCAGAAGAGCAGCATTCGGGACTTGAACCTGTGCCCACATGGGATGCCGATGCCACAGCGCCAGCCCCAGCCCCGTGGCATGAATTTCAGCAGCACCTTCAGACAGCACCCTTGTACACCACACCCGAGACCCAGGTGGTCCAGAGACCATGTCCAAGGGTGGTGACGGTGTGCTCAGAGACTACTGTCCAGCTAACGGGCAGCACGGACAGCCAGCCCTCTGCCTCGGGCCCCGCACCCACGGTTGCAACTGTGGACGGAAGACGCTTGGGAAAAGGCTGCTTCTGCAGAGCCGCGACGGGGGGCCTCGTCCCCAGCAGCAGAGGGGCAGGTAGACCAGATGGGCAGGTGGACCAGAGGGGCAGGTGGACCAGAGGGGCAGGTGGACCAGAGGGGCAGGTAGACCAGAGGGGCACGTAGACCAGAGGGGCAGGTGGACCAGAGGGGCAGGTGGACCAGATGGGCAGGTAGACCAGAGGGGCAGGTGGACCAGAGGGGCAGGTGGACCAGAGGGGCAGGTGGACCAGAGGGGCAAGTAGACCAGAGGGGCAGGTAGACCAGATGGGCAGGCGGACCAGAGGGGCAGGCGGACCAGAGGGGCAGGTGGACCAGATGGGCAAGTGGACCAGAGGGGCAGGCGGACCAGAGGGGCAGGCGGACCAGAGGGGCAGGTAGACCAGATGGGCAGGTGGACCAGAGGGGCAGGTGGACCAGAGGGGCAGGTGGACCAGAGGGGCAAGTAGACCAGAGGGGCAGGTGGACCAGATGGGCTTGCTTAGTGGAGATGGATGGGACAGGCTCTTCATGCAAGAGTTGACGCGAGACAGGAGCAAGGGCCAATGGCGTGGGGACCTCTCCCACAGGACCCCAGAGCCCCTAGTTCACCGCTGGACTTGGGTCTGTGTTCCTCCACAAAGGACTGGCTGAGTGTGAATCAGATGAAACTCCTAAGGTTTCATACCTAGTGGTACCACGCAAGGTAGCCCCCCCACCCCCAAAGCCGGGACTACCTGCAGTGCTAGAAGTGTGGGCAGGACTTTGTAGTGTAAAATACAGGGCTTCCAAGGCTGTTAGTTTTATGTATGTATGTATTTATTTAAAAGAGTTACACAGAGGAGAGGTAGAGAGAGGTCTTCCATCTGATGCTTTACTCCCTAGTTGGCTGCCACGCCCAGAGCTGCGCCAATCCGAAGCCAGGAGCCAGGAGCCTCCTCCAGGTTTCCCACATGGGTGCAGGGACCCAAGGACTTGGGTCATCTTCTACTGCTTTCCCAGGCCATAGCAGGGAGCTGGATCGGAAGTGGAGCAGCCGGGACTCGATCCGGCGCTTCAAGCCAGGGCATTAACCTGCTGTACCACAGCACCGGCCCCAAGGCTGTTACTCTTTATGATTGATCTACTTGAAAGAGACAGAGATCTTCATCTGTGGTCACTCCCCAGATGGCTCAGTGGCCAGGGTTGGGCCTGTCCGAAGCCAGGAGCTCCATCTGGGTCTCCCCCATGAATGCAGGGGCCCAAACACCTGGGACTGCCAGCAGGGAGCTGGATCAGAGAAGCAGGCAGGACAGGAGCTGTCACCAATGGGGTGCAGTGGTCACAGGCAGCAGTTAGACCATAATGCCAGCCCATGGCCTTCCTTCAGGCCCATATGGGCTAATTCTAACTTCCTGACCAGCCTCCCCCAACCCCATGGTCTCCCCCCACCTTGCAAAGTCGTTCACATTGTGGGAAAGGAACCAGGGCCTGCACTGGCTGGGCACTCGCGTCCTGCTCCCATGGTCTGCGTCCATGCTTTGGTGGGTAGGTGGTTCAGGAGGTGACTTAAGGGGGGTTGTGTGCATACGCTTTATGCAAATTTGTCATTTCCTGTAGGCACCTGGTCCCGGGGATAGGGTGTGTGCATGTGTCCTGGGACCAGTCTCGCCGTCACAGAGCTAAAGGAGCAAGCTCTGTTGTCCAAAGAGCCAGCGTGTGCGGGCAAGGCAACCCCTGCAGCGGCTCACCACAGGGGGAGCGCTGTGGTCCTCGTACCCGTGCCTGAGCCTCGGCAGCTGCCCCACGCTGGTCTGGCCCAGCTCTGGGAACATGTTTACACGCCAACACGTGCGCCGGTGAACACATGTTGTTCCTCCTTCCGAGGCTCGTCCTCACTTCTCTCAAGCCTTGGTTTTTCTTTTTTTTTTTTGATTTATTTATGGCTGGCGCCATGGCGGATTTGGCTAATCCTCCGCCTGCGGTGCCGGCACCCCGGGTTCTAGTCCCGGTTGGGGTGCCGGATTGTGTCTCGGTTGCCCCTCTTCCAGGCCAGCTCTCTGCTGTGGCCCGGGAGTGCAGTGGAGGATGGCCCAAGTACTTGGCCCTGCACCTGCATGGGAGACCAGGAGAAGCACCTGGCTCCTGATCGGCACAGTGCTGGCCGTAGCAGCAATGGAAGAATGGCTGTAATGCTCAGGGCCGGGCCAGTGCAAAGCCAGGAGCCAGGAGCTTCATCCAGGTCTCTCACATGGGTGCAGGGGCCCAAACGCTTGGGTCATCTTCCGCTGCTTTTCCCCAGTCATTAGCAGGAGTGGATTGGAAGTGGAGCAGCCGGACATTAACCTGTGCCTACAGGCCGCTGGTGCTGCAGGTGGTGGCTTTACCTGATACGCCGCAGTGCCACACCTGCACCCTGGTCTCCATCTGAGGCTGAACCCAGCAGTCAGACCGTCTCAGAGTCCCCTGGGGACGGGATGGACTCTCAGCTGTGCGGTCTCAGCACCCTGAGTGCCGTCTGGAGGTGCACATGGCGTGAGACACCAGCCGCCACCGGAAGCGGCCTGTGCTTTCTGCTACACGGCTCCTCACTGGGCTCTCCAGGCCAAGTCATCTGTGGCTCTATAGGACAAGTGGTCCAAGAGAACAAGGAATCATTCAAGTGACAGAAACAGAAAACAAAAACTGGCATATGCCCCACTCACTCTACTCAAAGCTTTGAAAAAAACCAGGGCATATTCTGGCTCAACGCCAAAGACTACAGAAACCAGAAGAAAAGGCGGCGGCCTTGAGCAAGGGAGCCGGGCGGCTCAGGCTGGCTCTGGGGACAGACACAGAACGCAGGCAGACCAGGCACGTGACTGCTAAGTTTAATCCCACGGCTACACCCAATCCTGCCTTGTAAAAATAACAAAGTGTTCCTATCAAAATTACACTGCGATGTTAAGTACAGGTTTTTTGTTGTTTTGATACAGCTCTAAAAAATGTTGGCACCAAATGCACTTACAAAGTTTTAAGGCTTAATAAGAATACAGACTAGTGTAACGCAGCTCAGACGTCGAGCAGAGGATGCTAACGGTCATTCCACTTCCAAGTACAGGCAGTGCCAGCTGAGACATCTTCCACGGCTGCGGCTCCTAGACCCCTCCCCCTCCCCCAAAACCTCAGCTTCCCCCCGGGCGAATCCGTGCCCTGCCTGAGAGCGGGGGCATCCATTTGGAATTTGTTACAAACAACACTTCATCCCCACCATCAGGCTGTTCCCTGTAAGCCAGCCAGCCAGTGTGTTTGGGCTTCTAGTTCAGCACCATTTAAACGCCCTCCCCGGCCCCACAAGGCTCTTAGAGACGACTGAACCCAGCCTCCTGCAGCTCTTCTAGGCTGCAGGCTAAGTGTGTCTTGGCTCTAAAGTCTTGAGGCACCAAAAGGAGGAAATGGTCTTTGGTTGGCAACGCCTGTGCAGGCCCCTTGGTGTGCCAGGAACAGGAAGTGGAACCTGGGCTCAGGCACTTGAGCAGCCAGGGTGCAGGGAGTGTGGCGAGCCCGGCCGCGGCTCTGCAGAAGCCTAATCATGAATTAGTTCTCTAGGCCTGGTGTCAGCTGTGCAGGAACACCGCCCAGCCCTCTGGGCCGACCGGGAGGGACTCAGGCCGGCCCGGCACCTCTGCTGGCAAACACCTGACCCCGGTCTCCTGCACAGATCCACGAGGGCTGCCCACGCGGCTCCTCCTGCTCTGGGGAAGCTGAGGGACCGACTGAGAGGTGCTGCAGACAGGCCGGGCCGCGGTCCCCAGGTGTGGCCTCACTTTAGGACATTCTCAGACGGCGAGGAAGCCACCCCGAGAGCCCAGGTCCTCAAGCCCCTCCTTCCCACCACCCAACGGCAGGAGACGCTCCGGGAGCTGGCGGTGGCAGCCACGGGCCTTGGAGGAAGCGCCCTGGCTTGTGAGGGAGGGAGCGGTTCACGTCCTGGTGAAGAATGAAGGCCTAGACCTAAGGCTGACCAGAGAAAAGCAGGAACGACTCAGGGCAGGGAACACGACCAGCCCCGCGGGGAGGCCGGCCGCGCTCAGAGGATCGGGGAGCGAGGGCCTCCAGGAGACGCAGACAGAGGACGGTGTCTGGTCTTTGCTGGAAGCTGCCGAGGAAACCCAATCAAGATGTATCAGGAGCAGCTGCGGGACAGCGTGTGGCGAGGGACGAGGAGGGGACGCAGGAACCCAGCCACGGGCGCCTCTGGAGTGGGAACCGCCCGGCTAGCAGGAACGGGGCAGCAGGACCTAGGGTGGGCGTCTCACCCCGGGAGCTGGCCAGGCCGTCCTGCTGACCTGTCAGTCCCCGGGGCAGCAGGACCTAGGGTGGGTGTCTCACCCCGGGAGCTGGCCAGGCTGTCCTGCTGTCCTGTCAGTCCCCGGGGTAGCAGGACCTAGGGTGGGCGTCTCACCCCGGGAGCTGGCCAGGCCGTCCTGTCACTCCCCGAAGTCCCATCAGGAAGCCGGCCTCAGCCAGCTGCCCTGGCCCTGGGCAGCGAGCCCCTGAGCAGCCAGCCTCACGTCCCCGACAGACCTGCACCCCACCCCGCGCATCTGGGCTGAAAGAAGTGACCACGTGTGATACCCTGGCTCTGGACTTTCCCGCCTCGCTACAGGGGAGCAGGGGCTTCTCTCAGTAGAAGGAGATGCTGGATTTGCCTCCTGGCGGGTTCAGGACCTTGTTGTGGGAGCGAGGCCGCGGCCCCAGCCGGGGCTCGTGGCTGTCGACCTGGGGTGCGGGCTCGGGCTCCTTGGCATGGTTAGCTTCTCGGGAGCGGCCTTTCTCGTCCAGCGGCGCGTCCCTGGACGGGGTTCCCGCTGCAGCTGTGGGACAAAGTCAGCACGGCACGGTCGGAGGAAGCCCATCATCCCACCAGCAAGGAACGGCCCGGGGGCCACGGCTGCGGCACAGCGGATAAAGCCACCGCCTGCAGTGCCGGCATCCCATGTGGGCACCTGTTCAAGGCCCGGCTGCTCCACTTCCAACACAGCTGCCTGCTCATGGCCTTGGGCCCTGCCAGCTACATGGAGACTCGGAAGAAGATCCTGGCTTCCGCCTGGCCCAGCCCTGGCCGCCCTGGCCGTTTGGGAATGAACCAGCAGATGGAAGGTCTAACTCTTTCAAATAAATAAATAAATCTTGGAACCCAGGTTCTTATTCTGTACAAGGACAACTCTGCGACTGGCACTGCAGCCCGCATGAGCATCACGCTGGGGCTCTTTCTCCTCTTCTCTCCCCTCCCCTCCCCTCTCTCTCTCTCTTTAAGATTTACTTGAGAGGTAGAGTTACAGACAGTGAGAGAGAGAGAGAGAGAGAGAAAGGTCTTCCATCCACTGGTTCACTCCCCAAATGGCTGCAAAGGCTGGAGCTGCGCCGATCCGAAGCCAGGAGCTTCTTCCTGGTCTCCCACGTGGGTGCAGGGGCCCAAGCACTCGGGCCATCTTCCACTGCTTTCCCAGGCCACAGCAGAGAGCTGGATGGGAAGTGGAGCAGCTGAGAATGACCGGCGCCCACATGGGCTGCCGGCACTGCCGGTGGAGGATTAACCCGCTGCGCCTCAGCACCGGCCCCGGGCTCCTTCTTCAACATCCTGTACTTCCTCCTGGTTCTCTCCACCTCCTGCCTCAGGTGTGCGCGTCAGGGCTCCAGAGCAGGAAGGGAAAGGCCTGGAGGTCAAAGGCAGGGTGGCCATCACTGCCTCCCCAACGCTGGGAAGGAGGGAACTTCACGTGTCTTGGTCACCAGCCGAGGTGCCCAGAGTCAGAGAACCACGGGGTGACTGGGCATCTGACCGTGGCCCAGCCCAGGGTGCCTGCGCGCGCCCTGTCTTCCTGCCTGCCCGCTGTCCCCTGGCCCTGCCAGCTCCATCCTTGTCCGCAGGTCCCTCCCTGCCCTCCACTGCTCAGATCGCCTTCCGGACAACCCGGGTCCCTGGGACACTCGCGGTGACAAGAAAGAAGACCCAGTGCTTCGTACCAGCCCCAGCCTCGCCCGTAAGGGGCTGGGAGACCCTCCGCTCATTCCCCAGGGCCGCCAGCGACTCCATCACAGGGAGCCGTGCGGACAAAGGGCCAGAGCTCACCTCTCGGGTCCAGGCTCGGGTCTTCTCCTTCTCGGAGGAGGATGTGGTCCTGCAAGAAGGAAAGGTGGCGTCAGGCAGTGGTCAAGACGGGGCCAGCCAGATCCAGACGCAGTGAAACCAGGGCGCAGCGCTCCCTCCACCTGTGAGATTCTCACCACGGTCAGAGAACACGGCCCACCACGGTCAGAGAACACAGGCCCCACCACGGTCAGACAACACGGCCCACCCACCACAGTCAGAGAACGTGGCCACTTCCAGACACCAGCATACACATCACAGGGCGGATCTGAGTCTTAGCCGCTCCACCTCTGATCCAGCTCCCTGTTAACGTGCCTGGGAAAGCCGTGGAGGACGGCCCGAGCAGTTGGGCTGCTGTGCCCAGGTGGGAGACCTGGATGGAGTTCCCAGCCCCTAGCTTCGGCCTGGCCCAGCCCGGGTGTCGTGGCCCTTTGGGAGTGACCCAGCAGATGAGTCTGCCTCTGACTTTTGGGAGTGACCCAGCAGATGAGTCTGTCTCTGACTTTTGGGAGTGACCCAGCAGATGAGTCTGCCTCTGACTTTTGGGAGTGACCCAGCAGATGAGTCTGTCTCTGACTTGTCACTCTGCTGCTACCGTGCAAACAAGCGTGCAGGCTGAGTCAGCCTCCCAACCCGACACAGGGCGACTGCCTCCTCAGGCAGCACCAGCTGCCCGCACAGCCAGGAGACACCCTCCTCCCACTGGCGCTTGTCCACCCGGATTCTGTCACCACCAGCCTCGTGGGTGTGACGTGCATCCCAGGGCCGCCTCCGCCCCGCATTTCCCAGGTGCTCCGAGGAGCCGAGCCTCATCCCACGCTGTCCGGTCACCTGGGCACCGCTCTCAAGGCTGCCAAGCCCACGGGCCGTTTCTGGATCCCGTCGAGATCATGGCGTGACTACTGAACTCCGAGAGCCCTCTGTACGTCCCGGAGAGGAAGCCCCATCAGATACACGACTTACCAACCTCTTCTCCCTCTCGGGCTGAACTTCCACTCTCAAGCGTCCTTTGAGGCCTTTTTAAATGTGTTGTCACTTGAGAGGCCCAGAGTGGACACAGCGCTGCTTCACGCCGACAGCTGGGCTCTGAGCCTGGACTCCAGCCCGACCCGAGGGCCTCAGGCAGTCTCACTGCTAGGCAAGTGCCTGTCCTCACGTGTTTAACTCTAATAAACCCATTTTTCAGTTTTCTCGCCTGGATTGTGTCTCATTTAAGAAACCACTGCGAAACCCAAGACCTTAAGGATCTGCACCACATGCTCCCTTAGTGCTGGGCTGTCCTCTCCTATGAGTACCCCACGCCCCGTGTCCCCTTAGTGCTGGCTGTCCTCTCTCCTGGTCTCTCCTCCCATGAGCACCCCACGCCCTGTGTCCCCTTAGTGCTGGGCTGTCCTCTCTCCTGGTCTCTCCTCCCATGAGCACCCCACGCCCCGTGTCCTCTTGGGCTGTCCTCTGTCCTGCGGGGCACAGGCCACTTCCTGCCCGTGTCGCCTGCTGACAGGCTGCTCTCCCCGAGGACCAGGGCTCCTCTGCGGAAGCAGCACTGTCTGCCTGTGCCGTCCTCACACTGCTGTTGGGCAGGCTGGCGCCCTCATGCGATGCCGGCCCTGCAGGCGGAGGCTACATCCTCCGTGCCACAGCGCCAGCCCTCCACTGTCTTCTTACAAAACAAGACACTCCGTTTAGGCAACTCAGGCAGCAGCCTGGCGCCAACCTGGAGACCTGCGCCTGGAGCAACGGACTAAACTAGGAGGAAATATGTCACAGCAGAGATGCCAGCCCAGGACAGACCGGGCCCCTGCTGGGCCAGCCCTGGTCTGTGCCCCGTCGCCCACCGTCTGTCCTCAGGGTCCCACTTCCGGGAGCTGAGCACAGAGGTGCAGTCATTTTTCCAGGCATGAATTCACTTCAGAAACGGTTAAGATTTTATGCTTCAGGGAGACACCCTACTTTTGACCACAAAAAAGGGCAGAAAGAGAATAAATAGGTTAAAAATATTGTTAATAATTGCCAGGGGACTTAAACAAGGTCATGGAAAAGGAAGAATTAAAAACAAAATTTCAGGGCTGGCACCATGGCACAGCAGCTTAGGCCTCTGCCTGCGTCGCTGGCGTCACAAATGGGCGCCGGTTTGAGACCTGGCAGCTCACATCCAATCCAGCCCCCTGCTAATGCGCCTGGAAAAGCAGTGGAGGATGGCCCAAGTGCTTGGGCCCTGCACCCACATGGGAGACCAGGAATAAGCTTCAAGACCCTGGCTTTGGCCTGGCCCAACCTGGGCTGTTGTGGGCATTTGGGGAGTGACCCAGTAGACAGAGAGCTGTCTCTCCAACTTTCAAATAAATATTGAAAAAAGAAATCACCCTAGGATGGGCATTTGGAGCAATGAAGACAATGCTTGGGATGCCTGTGTCTCAGGCCTGGCTCAGCCCCATTCCGACTCCAGCTTTCTCCATACCCTGGGAGGCAGCAGTGAGGGTTCAGGTATGTGGGAGACCTGACTTTCAGCGTCCTGGGTTTGGCCTCACCCAGCCCTGGCCACTGCAGGCATTTAGGGGGTGAGCCAGCCAGTGGAAGATCTATGTCTCTTTCAAACCAAATTAAACAATAAAAAGCAAATATAGATTCTCTGCATCTATGCTTAAAAGTGGGGGGGCCTGGGAAATCACGTAACACCAATGCAGGCTTTTCTCTTTGTCTTTTTGAAAGATTTATTTATTTATTTGAAAGGCAGAGTTACAGAGAGGTAGAGGCAGAGAGAGAGAGAGAGAGAGAGAGAGAGAGAGGTCTCCATCTGCTGGTTCACTCCCCAGATGGCCGCAAAGGCCGGAGCTGCGCTGATCCGAAGCCAGGAGCCAGGAGCTTCCTCTAGGTCTCCCCCGCAGGTGCAGGGCCCAAGCACTTGGACCATCCTCCACTGCCTTCCCAGGCCACAGCAGCAGGGACATGAACCAATGCCCATATGGGATGCCGGCACTGCAGGTGGTGGCTTTACTCGCTATGCCACGGTGCCGGCCTCAGCGAAAGCTCTTTCCATCACTAACAAGGAAAACGGTGCCCTTGGCAGACACCAAGGAGCGAGGAGGACGCCATGCTTCCCCAAGCGCCTCACGAAGCTGCCCGTGGGGAGGGTGCGCAGCAGCACCGCTGTGGGGGCGGAGCGCTGGGGCGGGAGCCCCCTACTCGCCCGGCTTTGCTGCTCCGGGGTTAAGCTGCTACTCGTGGTGCCGGCATCCCGCACAGGCATTGGCTAAAGTCCCGGCTGCTCCACTTCTGGTCCAGCTCCCTGCTAATGCACCTGGCAAGGCAGAGGAAGATGGCCCAAGTCCTTGGGACCCCGCGGTCACGTGGGAGACCTGGATGAAGCTCCTGGCTCCTGACGTGGGCCCAGCCTAGCCCTGGCCGATGCAGCCATTTGGAGAATGAAGCAACGGATGGAAGATCACTCCTCTGTGTTTCTCCTTCTCTCTCTAACTCCGCCTTTCAAATAAATCATTCTTGGCCCTCCAGGAAGTCAGCAAGCAAACACCTTAAGCGTGCTGAGGGCTGCTTCCGTGACCTCTGCTCCTGAGCAGTTCCCCTCTGGGTAGCCCCCGCCTGGCCCCCTGTACTTGTCTGCCGTGACGCCGGGCTCCACTTCCGTAGTCAGATCCACCACCGCGGCGCTGACACAGCAGGTGAAGCCGGCGTCCCACACAGGTGGTGATGGCGAAGCGCGGCAGTGGGAGGGCAGTGGAAGGTGGCCCAAGTCCTTGGCCCCTCAACCGCGTGGGAGACCCGGAAGAGGCTCCCGACTCCTGATCAGCCCAGCCCCGGCTGTTGCAGCCATCAGGGGGGTGAGCTGGCCGAGGGCAGACCTTTCACTGTGCATCTCCTCCTCTCTGTATCTCTGCCTCTCAAATAAATAAATAAATAAAACCTTAAAAAACAAACAAACAAAGGACCACTACCACTGCGGCTGTGGCTCCTCTTCAATGAGACCAGGAATCTGGCTGTGCTCCCTGCAAACTGACGTGGCCAGGTTGCCCTGCAGGCTTCAGCTTCACCTCCTTGCTTCTACGAGCTACCTGGGGCGGCGCCGTGGCACAGCGGGTTAAAGCCCTGGCCTGAAGCACTGGCATCCTGTATGGGCATGGGTTCAAGTCCCGGCTGCTCCTCTTCCAATGCATCTCTCTGCCATGGCCTGGGAAAGCAGAAGAAGATGGCCCAAGTCCTTGGGCCCCTGCACCCACGTGGGAGACCTGGAAGAAGCTCCTGGCTCCAGATCAGCTTAGCTCTGGCTGTTGTGGCCATCTGGGGAGTGAACCAGTGGATGGAAGACCTCTCTCTCCGTCTCTACCTCTCTCTGCAGCTCTTGTCTTTCAAATAAATAAAAGAATTCTTCACAAAACCCCGAGCTACCCGCTTATGAACTTCTCATCGAGTGTCCGCGAGTCCCCACTGCTGCCCCTCAGAGCTCCCGCTCCCCGACCGGGGCTCCTTCCAAGGGGAGGTCTTGCCTGTGCGCCAGACGCTGTCCCGCTCCTCCTGCACGTCAGCCTGGGTCCCTGCAAGTTTTCCAGGATACGCGCCGTCCAGGGACTTCGACAAGGGCCCAGCCTCTGCGGCTGCTGAGCTCTGGCCACAGGAATCCCAGAAATGCCGTGCCACAAACATCCACGCTGGGCCCGTGCCACACGGCCAGCCCAGGGAGCTCAGACGCAGCCGCTGCTGCCCAAGTCGCGGTGCTGGGTGTTCTGCTTTGCAGGGGCCTCGCGACGCACCGCGAGGGGGCTGCGCTCACCCCCCCCACCCCAGTGCTTTACGGCTGCAGAGGCACCGGCTGCGTGTCAGCCACGCACACAAGCCCACAGAGCCGAGGGGCAGGACTGCCAGGGGAAAACCTGTGCGACAGGTGCCCCTGCTGCTCCACGATGGACAAACACCGCTGCTTAGGATCAGCTTTCTAAATCTCACCCTCCCTCGGCCACGGCAGCCGCTCTCCCGGGGCTGGGGTCACCACGAGGCTGGGCTGCCTCCTGGGCGACTGCATGACCGTCCTCCTCCTCCCAACACGCCTGTCTTTTCACGTCTGCCACCTGAGGTGCCCTTACCTTGGGTTTGTTCGGATGTGCCGAGGGCGAAGTGGTAGTGACCGGAGACCCAAAAATGTCACTGGTCTTCCCACCCGGCGGGTTCAGGCGCTGCCGAGCCTGCACAGGGGGCGGCTCCTCGAAGATGCCACTTCCTTTGCCCCCTGCAGAAACAGCCACAGGACGCTGAGTGCCCGCGCGCCGCCCGGGCCCCGCCGCCTCCCCGCCACTCCACGTCGGAGACCGCCACTCGCGGGATGACCTGCTGCACCCGGGGCGCGGTGCCCGCTGTGGCCGCGTGTCCAGACCCGCGGGCCTCGGCAGGGGGAGGCACAAGCAGCACGTGTCCCTGAGTCTCCTCAACCCCAACACCCCCTCTGCTCCTACTGAAGTCCTGCCCGGAAACCCGGAACAGTTCTTAGGTGAGAAGCAACAGCAAACGTTTAGGTCACAGAGGTCCCACGCTCACTAACGAGCCCCACTCAAGGCAAACCTGTAATCTGGAAAATAACGTTTGCTTGTCATTCTCCCGACCTCATTCTGGCTGCACCTCCAGCCACAACTTGGGAAGTCAGCGAATCAGACACACATGACACCCCTGCGCTGGAAAAGCCACGACGAACACGCGTGTCTAGGACGCCCACGTGAAGAAGCGGACAGCGGCTGTCCCGCACCAGCCAGCAGTCAGCAGACACGGGAACACCCTCCCCACAGAGCCCTCGCTCAGAGTGACGTCATTACAGTCACAACCCTGGAAGGGACAGCGCGCAGCCGTGAGCAAAGACGTGGCCCCTCTGCGCAGAACCACTCATCTGCAGGAGGGTAACGGGCCCCCCTCAGGGCTGCCCGGCACGCCAGGAGCTACTGCGGCAGCACCAGGAGCGTAAACACTCAGGAAATGGAACTGCTTACCACCAAGACACATCTCACGGACTCTAGGTTACGTGGAAAAGGCACAACCCATCTACAGCATGCAATGTTCCTTCCATGACAAATCGGCGCTGGGTGTTACTGCTTATTTATGACCAGACAGAAGCCACCACGGCGCCCAAGTCCCAGAGGGGCTACGCGGGAAACCTGACAGCCGCGGGCAGGCTTTTAACACACCCAGCACTTTTCAGTTTCCAAAAGCTGCTGTAGTGTAGCAGGTGAGAGTGCCCGTGATGCCAGCATCCCACGTGGGCACGCGAGCGTGCGCTCCATTCTACCAGCTCCCTGCTACTGGCCTGGGAAAAGCAGCTGCAGGTGGCCCAGTGTTGGGCCCTGCCACCCAAGTGAGACCAGGACGGAGGCCCTGGCCTCAGTCTGCTCAGCCCAGGCCGCTGTAGCTGCTTGGAAGTGAATCAGTGGACTGAAGCTCTCCTATAATAATTTTTTTTACAAGACTTATTTATTTATTTGAAAGTTAAAGTTACACAGAGAGAGGAGAAGCAGAGAGAGAGAGAGAGAGAGAGAGAGAGAGAGAGAGAGAGAGAGAGGTCTTCCATCCACTGGTTTACTCCCCAATTGGCCACAACGGCTGGAGCTGTGCCAATCCGAAGCCAGGAACCAAAAGCTTCTGGGTCTCCCACATGGGTGCAGGGCCCAAGGACTTGAGCCATCTTCTACTGCCTTCCCAGGCCATAGCAGAGAGCTGGATCGGAAATAGAGCAGGCAGGTCTCGAACCAGCGCCCATATGGGATGCCGGTGCTTCAGGCCAGGATTTAACTCACTGCACCACAGTGCCGGTCCATCTCCTATGATTCTTCACTTTCAAACAAATTGAAGTTTTTTTTTTTTTTTTTTTGATAGGCAGAGTTAGACAGTGAGAGAGAGAGAGAGAGAGAAAGGTCTTCCTTCCATTGGTTCACTCCCCTAATGGCCGCTATGGCCAGTGCTGTACCAATCCGAAGCCAGGAGCCAGGTGCTTCCTCCTGATCTCCCATGCGGGCACAGGGCCAATGCACTTGGGCCATCCTCCACTGCACTCCCGGGCCACAGCAGAGAGCTGGACTGGAAGAGGAGCAGCCAGACTAGAACTGGTGCCCATAAGGGATGCCAGTGCCACAGGCGGAGGATTAACCTAGTGTGCCATGGTGCTGGCCTCCTGGTCTTTCTCACTTTTTAAAAAAGATGTTATTTATTTATCTGAGTGACAGAGTTACAATGAGAGGGAGAGAGAGAGGTCTCCCATCCACTGGTTTACTCCCCAAATGGCTGCAGTGGCTAGAGCTGTGCTGATCCAAAGCCAGGAGCCAGGAGCTTCCTCTGGGTCTCTCACACGGGTGCAGGGGCCCAAGGACTTGGGCCATCTTCCACTGCTTTATCAGGCCATAGCAGAGAGCTGGATCAGAAGAGGAGCAGCTGGGACTCAAACCGGGGCCCATATGGGATGGCAGTGCTGCAGGCAGAGGATTAACCTATTGTGCCCAAGCGCTGGCCCCAATCTTTTTTACTTTTTTTTATTTTATTTTTTTTATTTTTTTTTTTATTATTTTTTTATTTTTGACAGGCAGAGTGGACAGTGAGAGAGAGACACAGAGAGAAAGGTCTTCCTTTGCCGTTGGTTCACCCTCCAATGGCCGCCGCTGCAGCCGGCGCACCGCGTTGATCCGATGGCAGGAGCCAGGATCCAGGTGCTTTTCCTGGTCTCCCATGGGGTGCAGGGCCCAAGCACCTGGGCCATCCTCCACTGCACTCCCTGGCCACAGCAGAGAGCTGGCCTGGAAGAGGGGCAACCAGGACAGAATCCGGCGCCCTGACCGGGACTAGAACCCGGTGTGCCGGCGCCGCAAGGTGGAGGATTAGCCTACTGAGCCACGGCGCCGGCCATTTTTTACTTTTAAAACATGAATTGTGGGGCCAGTGCTACGGCACAGTAGGTAAAGCAGTGGTCTGCAGCACCAGCGTCCTCAGTGTGCGCCTGTTTGGGGTCCGGCTGCTCCACTTCCAATCAAGCTGCCTGCTGGTGCGCCGGGGAGGTCGGTGGTGGATGGCCCAAGTGCTTAGGCCCCTGTACCAACGTGAGAGACCAGGAAGAGGCTCCTGGCTTCCAGGTCAGCCCAGCTCCCGCCATTGTGGCCATTCTGAAGTGAACCAGCAGACGGAGGATCTGTGTCTGCTTCTCTCTGTAACTCTGCCTTTCAAATAAATAATCTTACAAAGAAAAGTGACTTTTGAATAGTTACTCTGTACTGCATTAACCCACACTGCGAGGCCGGGACAGAAGTAGTACCACCTGCAGAGTGGGACGGGAGGTGCTGTGGAGCCACAGACAGGGCCTGTGCCGGGGGCCCACCTGGGGAGACACAGGACGCCCTCTTGAGGAAAATGTGCGCCTGCCTTTGCGTAGCCCCAGCGTGAGCGTCAGCCAGGGCTCCCGGAGATGAGCCTGGGGAGAGCGGCTGTGTGGTGGCAAGGTCCTGGCTAACGTGCCTGGGAAACCCAGTACCTGGGGGTCCCTGCTACCCACACGGAAGACCTGGCCCAGCCCAGCCATTAAGGGAGTGAACCAACAGATGAGAGATGTCTCCTCCTCCTTTTTCAGGAACTCTGCCTTTCAAATAAACAAACAAGGAAACCTCACAACACCCCCTCCCCACAACGCTGGAACTGGAGGGGCGCCCGGGGACCCTAACATGGGAGGAGGCGTCCCAAGTGGGGTCTCCAGCATCATGCCTGATCCCGCCCCTCCCAAACCTCTGCAGGCTAGAACAGACCTTGACGTCCTTCATGGACAGACACGGGCGCTACTCAGGCAATCGGCACTGTGTGCTCGCCCTGCCGAGAAAACCTTGCGCCAAGCTCCTCCCCGACAGCCAGCACCAGGAAGTGGCGTCTGCGTTTCAAACTGCGCGCCAGACCCTGCGTCCTCGGTGGCGGCTCAGCCCCACTGAAGGCGCACTCCAAGGAAAACTTCTAAATGCAGTCCTGTGCACGGACGGTCGGGCATCTCAGGAGCCCAGGGACACCTGGGACAGCCCCCGGCACCAACCAGGACCCCACCACCACAGCGTGCTCGAGCTTCCTGCGAGAGAGAGAGAACAGGAAGGCCTCCCGTTCCCTGCGGGAGAACTCCGCCGGCAAAGGTTCCAGAAAACATGGGGAAGGACCAACATAAAGGGAGAGGCCGGGCAGAGGATCAGGAAGCGCGTGCCTGGGGGGTTGGTCCTCTTGGGCAGGTGCTGAGGTTCTTCAGTTGGTCCAAAAATATTCGACGCCATCCTGTTAGGTCTGCTCGAAGGAACGGCTTCTTCCGCACTTCCGAAAAGATTGCTGGATTCTCCTCCTGGGGGCTTCATGGCCCTGCAAACAGCAAACACGTTACAGAGGGCCGGCCCGGACATGGCCACCGTGCAGGGCTGCGGCGCGACCCGCAGGCCAGAGCACCTGCCTCACGCTGGCCTGGACATGGCCACCGTGCAGGGCTGCGGCGCGACCCGCAGGCCAGAGGACCTGGACACAGCCACATGGCAAGCACTTGTAAAAAAAAAAAAAAAAAAGCGTTTCAGGGGTGAGGGGCCCCTGACACTGAGGTTTAACCTGCTGAGCGGCCCACGCCTCCAGCAGCGGACTGTGTGCAACCCCTCCACCAGGGCCGGGGACTTCGGCCTGGCCCGGCCCTGCGGAGAAATCCAATCCGTCTCTATCAGGCTGAAGTCTGTGGATTTGGTGTGGCCCACAAATCATGCTATAAACATCCACACGGCCCGAGACAGAAAAAATGTCGCTCCCACCCCTCGTGGACACCACAGCGCCGAGACCACGGCTGGACCTCCCTGGAAAGCCGCACAAATGCTGACCGCTCAAGACTCGGCCAGCGCGCTGTGGCCTTGCGGGAGCTGGACAGGGAGCAGCCCCCGCCACGCAGCTCTCGGGTTCTGGCGCTGGGAGGCACAACGCCTGCTTCAGAGGGCGGCCAGCGTGCCAGGCACCGCGCGCAACGCCCAGAAGCCAAGCACCCGCTGGCCGGCCTCTGAGCTGGTGCCGGAGACCCTGTGACAAACCTGCCTGCTGGGCATTTCCTGAAGAAGGGCTGGGTTTAGGGAAAAAAAAAACCAGTTCCGTTGGAGAAAAAAATGTCTTTTAGAAATAAGGAACAGCCAAATGTCAGCCAGGAGGGGCCTCGCCGGGCTGAGACCTGGGTCGGACCACGAGGCTCCCGCCGGCACGCGTGTCCATCCGTATCTCGCTCTTCTCCGAGCGCCAAGCCCCTCACCTGTCGCACCCATCCCCGCACTCTGGCCAGAGCTTCAGGCTGCCCTGAAGAGCCACAGCTGTGCCCTGGTGGTTTTGGGGGCCACGGGCGTGACAGCACCGAGTTCCCCCAGTCCAAGGCGCCCTGGGAGGTGAGGCCAGTGAGTCTGGGGTCTCCACAGAGCAAGGGCGTGTGGCAGTGAAACCACAAAGCAAACAGAGCTCGGTCTGACCCAGTGCTGCAGCGGGAGGGGTCTCAGGCTGGGGTCCCGGGGCAGTGGCCACCCGCCCCCCCACGGCTTCCAGGTCAGCGAGGCCAATGGCCAGGCGGCCCCAGCGGGGTCTCAGACACAAGGAACAGGGAGGTCAAAAGACCTTTCAATGAAAAACAGCCCCAACAATGGGGCAGTGTGGCCCGCGGCGGGCTCCCAGCACCGTGGTCACAGGACCCCAGCCGCGGCCAGCTCAGGCGCTTGTGCGGTGCTCGCCAGCGTTTCTCCTCCCGCGGCTTCCCTCCACGTAGTTCAGAAAAACAGCTCCAAATGGAGAACAGGGGCGGGGGGCAAGGCGGGCGCCGCGGGACAAAAGCCAGCGCCGGGACCCAGGCGGGGGGCAGCCAACACTCCCCCCACCGCGGAAGAGCTCGGCTTCGCGCTTGCACGGCCCCCGGGCCGCGGGCACCCGGCGACCCTCGGCCAGGCGGCGGCAGCGCGGGGAGGCCGGCCCGGCGCCCACCAGGGCGGCGGCGCGCTCCCCGCAGCACCCCACACAAAGGCTCCCTGCCCGCCCCAAGGCCAGGGCGCCGGGGTGCGCTCCGCAGGCTCCGCCTCGGGCCGCGAGGCTCGGCCACCCGGGCCCCCGCCGGGAAGACCCCCGCGCCCCGGCCGCCCGCGGGCCTGCGCTCTGCGGGGCTTCCGGGCCCACGGAGCCGCCTCGGAGCGGCAGCGAGCCACGGGGCGCGGGGAACCGGGAGCGCGGCCGCCCTCTCCCCGGGCCCGCGCCCCCGCCCCTCACCCCGTGCGGGCCTGGCGGCAGACAGGACCCGACACGAAGGTGCAGAGGAGGAAGGGCGGCGGCGCCACGCGCCGCCAGTGAGGTCACCTGGGCCGCACCCAGCCCCGGCCCGCGGGTCCCAGGCTAACCGGCCCGCTGCCCCGCACCGCACCTGGAGCTTGCCCGTCCGGCCTCACTCTCTGCACCCTGGAACATGTCGGCCGCCGCGCGGCTCCCCGTCTCCTCAGCCAGGGCGCCTGGGTTCCCGCCTGGCCCAGCGCAGGTACCCTAGGCTCACCCTTCAGGGCCCATTGGACTACGCCCCCGCCAATCACACTTCCGCAGCCTATCGTAGCGCCGTGCCCCACCCCTCCCTCTAGTCTCCAACCAGAGGGAGGCTTGGAAAGCCCAGCGCCGCGCTCGCAACTAATTGGCCGGAGCAGCCGCCACTCCCCGCGTCGGGCGCTGCCACTGGGCCGCGGGCTGGCCCGCCCCCCATCACGAGGCTCATTCCCCGGGGCGCGAGGCCGGGAGCCGGAGGGGTTCGCGCGTGCCGCAGCGTGCTGAGCAGGAAGCGAAGACCCAGGGTGGGGCGCCCGCGCCCTGTCCAGAACCGGCGAGACGCCCCTGGCCCCAGCCGCACCTGTCCACCCCTCTGCCCGGCTCCTCACCGGGGCACCGTCATTACAAAAGCACAAACGAATCATCTGATCAAGTATTAGTATGTATTTATGCACAATAAAAACATTTACAAGTTGAACTGGAAATTTAAACAGAAGTTTAACAGCTTTTGTTTATTAAATAACCAAAACACCTTTTATTCCCAAAATTGGTAAAGAATAAATAATATAATTTACAATATGGTACAAAAAATAATCGAGAAGGGCAGGCATTCTGCTTTATACATACACTGTGTATTTATAATCTATAAAACAAATTCACATCTCAAACAGCCGAAAACCTCCGATGATATGGCTTAACGATTATAAAAGGAAGTAGCAGTGAGTTCCGCCGCCCAGAACGCAGCTCCGGGGCCTGCACCCGTGGGGAGGCCTGCAGGACTGGCCCCACGCCCCCGGACGGGTGGGGGTGACAGCTGGCAAAGGCGGACAGTGGGGCTCCTTCCTCTGAAGATCAATCGCTTCCTTCCCAAGACAAAGTGCGCTGCCTCCTGAGGGAGCTCGGAGCTTCAACAGGAAACGCAGCTGTTCTGGTCTCTCGAATCCCACGCCTTCCACAGTCTGATCTGAAGAGGCCACGGGCCCCGCGAGGCCCTGGTGTGGCGTGGCAGAGTGGAGCCTGCAGGCTGGCTGAGGAACTGTCCCCACAGACCCCCACTCCCTGAGCAAGCAACCCAAGGCGGAGAGAGAGCCTTGCGGTCAAAGGCTCCGGTCGGCCCTGCGTCGCCGCGCACTCACAAGACCTGAGGCCACACCAGCCTCACTCCCCCAAGATGGATCCGGGTGAAGATCCCTGACTGGGGAAAAGCTTTTCCGAGACCCACCTCCTCTTAACCAAGGTCTGTTCCCTCGCACAAAGGGAGCCGGGTTCTCAGGGAGGCTGTCAGCACTGCGGGGCAGGGGGGGCCTCGCGCAGGGCCCGTGTTGCACGTGAATCTCCATTCAGACGGGCAGAACAGCACCCATTGTTTTTCTGGCGCAAAGGACAGCACTTCCTGTGAACAAGGGCAAGCCAACCCGAGACCCCCCTCAGCTCCACGGGGTGTTACTGCAGAACAGGCTCTGCTTGGGTGACCCGGAGCAGGTGCTGGGAGAGCCGCCCCTGTGCCTTCCCCCCTCTGCTTTGGGAGTGTGCACACACACCCGAGTGGAGATCTGAAGACCCTCGCCGGGCCCAGAGACCCCGCCCGCTCCTGTTCTGCTGCAGGCTTGGAGCCTGACCTCTGACCTGACTGAAGCCTAGGGGGGCCGCAGCACCTGGGGGTGGGGGGACAGGACTGCACCACCCACGCTGCCTGTGTCCCAGCCCACTCCATGCTTTTCACACCAGCTCCCTTCTGCACTGCAGATGGGCAGAGAAGCCAGAGGAGCGGCAGTGGCGTCTGGGCGGGGCGGCAGCGGGGCTCAGGAAAGCCCCATCAGTGCTGGCGGTCAGCCACACTGTCCAGGGCTGGACAGTGACTTGGGTGCTGGGACCCCCTGAGGCTGATGATGCAAAGGAGCCCTTGACAGCCTCACTCTGAGCAAAGCCTGGACGTGGGGCCATCTGCGGTAATGACCACTGCCACCAAACGTGGCTACAGGAGGCCGACCAGCAAAAGGACACGGGCTTGGGAGCTTGGATGACACCCAGACATCTGGACTTTGCCGAGGTTCCCTGAACAGGAGAGCAATGGAGGTCTCAGGGAAAGGCACACGTGAGGCTCCCGGGCATGCCGAGGACGCCATCCACGCACTGGGCACACGGGAGGCTCCCGGCACGCCGAGGACGCCATCCACGCACTGGGCACACGGGAGGCTCCCGGCACGCCGAGGACGCCATCCACGCACTGGGCACACGGGAGGCTCCCGGCACGCCGAGGACGCCATCCACGCACTGGGCACACGGGAGGCTCCCGGCACGCTGAAGACGCCATCCAGGCACCGGCACACGGGAGGCTCCCGGCATGCCGAGGACGCCATCCAGGCACCGGCACATGGGAGGCTCCCGGGCACAGGCACACGGCGCACCCGTGTCACGGAGGAGCAGGTGCTGCGCAGAGGCAGGATTGTCCCGGCGCCAAGGGGAATGCAGGAACGGCTCAAGAGCTTGCCCGGTGCTCAGGGCCGCCCCAACGCGGCGCAGTGACGTCTCATGACTAAGAAACTTGCAGATGGACCGTGGGAGGAAACCAGCTGAGCACAAGAAACGCGCGCACCAGGGCGGGAGGGTCACGGAGTGCACACAACCTGCCCCGGACCTGCTCTTCCCCTTCCTGTTGAGTCAGTTCACAGCGCCCAGATCGGGGGAAAGGACCAGAATACTGGGGGACGGTTCTGGCCACACCGCCTGGGACCCTCCTGCTGCCCTGTGATCAGTGTCCCCTCAAGTACTTGTGGTCTCAGGGAGCAGACACCTCCAGGCACGGGCCTGGCCACGCCCTCTGTACCCCAACATCACTCTGCGGAAGGCAGCCCAACTGTGGCACAGGTTTGGCAGAAAGCAAGCAGCAGCAGCCAGGAGCAGAGAGGGGAGACCACCCCTCCCCAGGCAGCGACATCCCTGCCAAGGCACGCACCCCTTTCTGTAGGAAGAAAACCCACTGGAATGTCCAGCACCACAGTCCAGGGAGAGTGTAGACTGAAACCGGACACCACACCGATCCCAGCACGGGACCGGGATCTGCCGTCGTCGGGCGACCTCTGCAGCCCCAGCTGGTGGGGCATGACTCTGGACCGGCTGCTCCCACACGGTGCACGCTGCTCTGGGGTGCAGAGGTGCCTCTGTCACCCCATCCTCTGGGATCCTGGGGTCGCTGTGTTCTCTCCAGTGTGGAGAGCGCCCCGCCCGCACACAAGGACGCCAGCCCATAAGCTCTCTGCAGCCTTCAGGAGGCCCTGTCATGAGGCTCGGTCACTGGGAGAGGTCACCAACAGGGGGGCCACCTCCACCACCGTCAAACAGAACCTCTCGGCGGCCCGGCTCAGTGACGGACAGCTCTTGGGCCAGGTCGTTGAACCGAGATATGTAATCAATGCTGTTTTCGTTCATCATGCACACCAGCTGGGAGTCCACCACCTGCAGGAGAGACGGACGGGCACAGTAAGTCACTGGCAGCTGGCTACCAAGGCAGGGCCTTCAGTGCAAGGCGGCTCTCTGGAGAGAGGACGGGGCTCTCCCACTGGCACGCCCTCCCCGCAGGCAGAGAACATCAGGGCGTCCTGTGTGCACCTGCCCTCCTCCCTCTGGCATTCAGGGTGCCTGCCGTGGGATTCGAGGGGTGCTCCCTCCTTGTGAGACTTAGGGGGGAAGACAATCCGCACACCGAGGCAAATGGCATGAACCAAAGTGCAGGGATTGAGAAGGGTGAAGGGAAGGAAAGCAGAGTGAAGAGGGGGAGAGGTCCCAGGAGGGTGCTCCAGGGAGTGGGGATCTAGCAGAGCGTGGCAGTCACCCAGTGTGAGGCACACACACTCATCAGAGGTCGCAGACACCGCCCCTGGCTGCTCAGCCCACACAGGAACACGGTGGGCCTGAGATGCGGCATTTCCAACTGCAAGGCACTTCTGCAGCTGGTCTGCCGACCACCCCTTGCGGTTCTGGCCTGTTGTCTAGGGGTGCCGTTACCAGCATCCAGGCCCACAGGGTCCCTGCTGAGCAGTGAGTACAGAGACGGGGCGTCATAGGGTCCCTGCTGAGCAGTGAGTACAGAGACGGGGCGTCCTCTGAACAAACACTCTGCGGCCAAGGGGGCTTCAGCGGTGCTACACTGTTGATGATGGGCCCCAAGTCCATTCACGTCACTGTGTTCACTTCTGTATTTTGTTCAAATTTCCAACCACGTCTCAGTCAGGCTCAGAGTTCTCCAAGCTTTCTTCAAAGGTGTTTTTTTTTTTTTTTTTTTTTTTGACAGGCAGAGTGGACAGTGAGAGAGAGAGAGAAAAGTCTTCCTTTTTGCCGTTGGTTCACCCTCCAATGGCTGCCACGGCTGGCGCTCTGCGGCTGGCACACCACGCTGATCCGAACGAAGGCAGGAGCCAGGTGCTTCTCCTGGTCTCCCATGGGGTGCAGGGCCCAAGCACTTGGGCCATCCTCCACTGCACTCCCGGGCCACAGCAGAGAGCTGGCCTGAGTGTGCCGGCGCCGCTAGGTGGAGGATTAGCCTAGTGAGCCGCGGCGCCGGCACTTTCTTCAAAGTTTATCCCATCAAGATTCATGACGGACGTCAGAGTCCGAGAAGCTGAGGCATCCTGGGCAACAGCTGCTTGGACCTCCGTATGCTCCAAGTTCCCGCAAGAATTCGACAACGGCACATTAAGGACACAGCAGGGCCTCAGTGACTTGGAGAGCCCGCCCTGGGAAACACAACTCCAGGAAGTCAGCAGCAGGCCCAGTCCCTCCAGGGGGCTCTTAGGGCTCCTTTCCCTCAGAGAAATGTACCTCCTCTCCTCTCTTAGGCGCTGCCCCTGCGGGCCTGGCCTGCCCACGGAGCAGACAGCCTGGTCAAAGAAGGGACCACGCACCGATCAAAAGAGCAGTTACGATGACACTTGGCCTCCACTTGGACACCTGCTGCGTGGGACCCCTACTGTCCTGCGCAGGGGAGGCGTACAGAGCGGAAGGAACACCGGTGCCTGCCTGTAGAGCCGTTCCCAGCTTCCTTTGCCAGGTGCGACACAGATGGGAGATGCCACTCCAGGGGAGTGTAGATAGCACAATGCTCATCACCACCCTGAACCCCCAGCTCAGGGTCCTAGATGATGTGCAGTCAAACATGGGCAAAGGACTCAGCAAGCTCCAGCCCGGCTCTGGACGCCTTCACAGGCCTCGCTCTCCATCTCCCACGCTCTGATCCTTTACAGCTTGGCTGCTATCGTGGGGTCTGCCGCTGGCTGCCACGTGGAAGAAGACAATGGCCCAGTGTTACCAGACCTATCCATCCTCCAGATGCACACACCTAGTCAGTCACCTCCTGGTGAGTAGCTGGGAACGACCCGTCTGCAGGAGGGATCCAGGAACCTCCACAGCGGAGGCTGGGTGGTCGGTCTTGGACCTGAGGTAGCACACTTACCTCTGCGACATCCGCCAGGGACCTGGACACAAACGAGTCTCGTGAGTTTCCATCCAACAAACTGGGACCCAGCAAGGAGGTGCCGCTGTTGGTCCCGGCAGGGGTTGGCAGCATCTTCCGGCTCTTCTCTGGGGAGATGAAGCTCGCTGCCAAGAGAAGGCAAAGGGAGCGATCAGGAAGGCTCCTGAGGGAGGGTGGGCCAGCCCAGGCCCCTGCCGGCATCCAGCCCTACCCTCGTGCAGAGGACTTGGCGTGGAAGCTGCTCTCAGGAGGCCCTCCCCCAGCTCGCCAGGAGCCCCAACCCTGTGCTTATTCTCTGTGGCCAGACGGGCACAAAGGCTGTTCCCAACCTCTCCTAATGTGGTTTCACTCTGCACTAACCCCACCACTCTGTGACAATGGCAACCACTCACAGGTGCTGGCTCAACCCATACCTGCAAGACCCAGAGCCCCAGTCCCAGACAATCAGAGCTGATGAATTCACTATCTGTTCAACACGCCTGCCCCGGGGCTGCCTGCACCCTCGGGAACCAGGCCCAGACAACCTAACGCAGCCACGCTTGCCTTCCCTAGCAGGTGCCTTCCCTCCATACCAACACCTAGCACCCCTGAGCAAATGGACAGTGTGGGCAGGGCACGTGAGCCCCCAACTCTCTGACCCGTGAGAGAACATGCCACTAGACAGCTGAAAGGCCCACTGGAGCGCCACACTGACCACCAAGAGTACAAATGGCCACCTGGGTGCATTAGTCACCCTTGGGACCCCCATGTCCTGTATCAAGGTGCCTGGTTCCAGTCCTGGCTACTTCATCCAATCCCGCTTCCTGCAAATGCACCTAGGAGGAAGTGGATAATGCCCGAGTACTTGAGCCCCTGCCACCCATGTGGGAGACACCACAGAGTTTCTGGCTCCTAGTTTCAGTCTAGCCCAGCCATTTGGGGAGTGAACCAACAAGTGAAAGTCTGTTTCTCTCTGTGTCTCTCCCGCTCTGTCACTCTTTTAAACAAATCTTATAAAAAGAAGGGGGGGTCAACTTTCTTCTCTACCTCAGTGAAAACATATACTGACCATCTGCATCTTCTCACACACAAGCTACATCTTTTTCTTTCTTTCTTTTTTTTTTAAGATGTATTTATTTATTTGAAAGTCAGAGTTACACAGAGAGGGAGAGGCAGAGAGAGAGAGGTCTTCCATTCAATTCCCAATTGGCCGCCAACAGCTGGAGCTGCACCAATCCGGAGCCAGGAGCCAGGAGCTTTTTCCAGGTCTCCCACGCGGGTGCAGGAGCCCAAGGACTTAAGCCATCTCCGACTGCTTTCCCAGGCCATAGCAGAGAGCTGGAGTGGAAGTGAAGCAGCCGGGTCTCAAGCCAGCGCCCATATGGAATGCTGGTGCTTCAGGCAGGGCGTTAACCTGCGGTACCACAGTGCCAGCCCCACAAGTTACATCTTAAAGAAGTAAACTCAAGAGGTTGGTGCTGTGGCGTAGCATGTAAAGCCGCCACCTGCAGTGCCAGTATCCCATATGGGCACCAGTCTGAGTTCTGGCTCTCCACTTCCTATCCAGCTCTCTGCTATGGCCTGGGAAAGCAGTGGAAGATGGCCCAAGTCCTTGGGCCCCTGCACCTGCGTGGGAGACCCAGAGGAAGCTCTTGGCTCCTGGTTTTGGATCAGCACAGCTTGGGCCATTGTAGCCATCTGGGGACAATTTGGGAGTGAACCAGTGGATGGAAGACCTCTCTCTCTGCCTCTCCTTCTCTATGTAACTCTTTCAAATTAATAAATAAATCTTTAAAAAAAAAAACTCAACTCAGAAAAAAACAAAGAAATAGAGACAGCCCCAGTAGGAGTGCGGCCGCAGAGTACAGAGAATCCAGTGTTCCCCAGACTCCAGCACCCGGTGGGTCCAATGAGAGACCCACACTCACCAAACAGGCTGCTAAGCGAGGAGTCTGTAGAGTCGCTGGGGTACCACTGAGGGTCATGGGTAGGGGACGCAATCCAGTTGGGCTGGGGGCTGCTGGACGGAGAGGGAGGACTCTTGGAGCTGTCACTGCCATTCAGTTTTGCTGGAGAGAGAGGGACCCCTTCACCTGTCAACCAAAGTCTCAAGTTAGTGAGGCCACGGGGGAGGGTAAGCGGCAGCCACTTCCCTGCCCACTAGCAGGAAGGCAGCTGGTGGCACAGCTGTGCACAGCTGAACGGCAGAGACCCAGGAGGTTATGGGGCCTCCGTGAGGATGGGGATGGAACAGGCTCCGGTGCAGAGGCCACAGAGGCCACCATGGGCCCCCCCGAGGATAGACCAGGCTCAGGTGCAGAGGGGTCAGAGAACACCATGGGTCCCCAGGAATGAACAGGTTTGGGTGCAGAGGGTCAGGGACGTGAGAGAGGCTTCATGCTGCCCAAGGATGCAGTGCAGGAGAGGTGATGGCAGCAACTGACACGAGCGAGCCAGGCCCTGCGCTGAGGGCAGCCCTGTGCAAAGGCACATTACTCCAAATTTCCAGCTGAGGAAATGGAAGGCCGGATGCTAGCAGGCCATGAACTGCATCTGTCTGAACCCACTGCCTGAGACGACACCAGCAGGAAGCCAGGGCCTAGATGGGCATCAGTTCAGCCACTTCCGACACCGCAAAACCCGTGGGCTGTCTGCCAGGGCTCGGAATCCACCAGGAAGTGGCCTCTCAGATTCCCAGGCTTGAGAGGACTTGTGGGCCATCCCACTCTTGTCTCAAGGTCAGGAGCATCCTCAGGTCCTCCATGCACCTGACCCGTGTGCACAGCCCCCACCAAAACCAGGTGGCCAATACCCAATCCTCAAACGTGACAGCTCAGCTGGGACAGCCCAGCAAGGGCAGCAGAACACTCAGGCAGGAGACAAGAGCCCGCGGCAGACCTGCATCTCCCTTTGCTGACGGGCAACCCGATTCCAGGTGCAGGAGGCCACTCCGTCCTTACCAAACTGGCTGGAGCTGATGGCGATCTCAATGATGGAGTCGCTGATCTGCGTGGCGGGCTCTCCCTGCGACAGCACATCCTCGGGCGGACCGGGCAGGGAGATGTCCAGCAGTGCAGAGACGTTGGGTGGAGAGAGCCGAGTGCTGGAACCCTCCGAGGAGGGAAGGGGTGCCGAGGGGCCGTTCTGGAGGTGAGCCTTGGGCAGCTCAGACAGGGAGAGAACAGGTGACTCCTGCTGGAGACAGGGACGCTCAGACAGGTGGCCGTGAGCACCCAGCCCCAAGTCGTCCTTGGTGGGCCAGGCAGTCAGAGTGTAGTGTAGTGAGCACAGAGCTGTCTCATCTCAGGTGAAAGCCGCTGTGGCCACTCCTGTCTCCAAACCAGGAGACGGCAGCCCCTTGGCCAGGCCAGCAAAGACAGGTGACCACTGCCAACAGGACAGCTGCGGTTGCACAGGTGGAGAACGGGTACTGAGGGAGCCACCACCCAAGGGCCTCTGCCCCTCTGGCTCAGGAAACTCACTCCTTCCAGAGCTGGCACAGAAGGAGCCCTTCTCCAAGCGGGGAGCAAGGAGGTCTAGGGGTTCACTCACTGACCAGGAGCAGCGAAGGGGAAGATGCAGCCCCAAATCTCACCCTACCTGAAAACTGTCCGTCACTGGCTCCTGTCCAGGCCTCGAGGGGACACTGATGAAGGACTCCCCGGAGCCCTAGGGAAAACCAGGAACACAGTGAGCCGCCCACACAGGGCGCCAGAGCACAGGCCCAGAGGGAAAGCAAATGGAACGCGCCCTGGGTCAGAAAGGTGACTAAGCCACTTTGAGCGCGTGGCCACAGGCAGGCGTCCTGGAGTCCAGCCCACCCCACTGTTCTTGGCACGTCTCAAGCAGGCGGGGGCGGGGAGGGAGGGGGGGCCAAGAGCAGCGCAGCACCTAGAGACCTAGAGAGAGTGATAGCCGCGGCGGCGCACCACACTCTTCACTCCAACAGCGAAATGTTCCCTGACGCCCCAGCAGGAGCCCACCCCATGGCTGTGGTCACCCCTCAGACCAGGCGGCCCTTCACATACCCCCCAGCTCAGCTCGCCCGTGTCACACAGCAAGCCCCACCCACCCCGAGACAGGCTCTGGGTGACCCTCCCACGGGCCACATGGGGCTCATCCATGCCTGGGCCTCCAGGGCCCAGCATGACCTCAGCCCACAGCCTGCACCCACCCTGGAAGCTGGTGGCCACACTGAAGAGCCCTTCAAAATAAACTCACCTGCACAGTGGGGACAGGGTCTTCACTCTGGTGGGTTCTGGCCGGGTCCTGACCTGGGACAGCAGCTGTCACCTTGTCTGAAGACAGTGGCGGGGTGCTCGGCAAGCCCTCGGCATCCACGATGGGCAGGGGGCTCCCGGGGAGGATGCCGGCACTTTTTGCAGCCAAGTCGATAGCACCTGCTCACAGAAACCATGACTCAGGGCTCTGTCCTACCAACGCCCCGGGGGCTGAGGGGCAGTTTCTCCGTCACATCCCATGTCCGTCTGAGAACCCAGGACTAGGCACTTTCTTTGATGGGTAACAAGACACTACAGTTGAAAGAAGAAAACTTTCAAAACCTGTGACAGAATGCTACTCAGATACTTTGATGACAGGTGTCACCCACAGGCTAACTTACTGGCCAGAGGACTCGTGGCCTGGGGCGGCAGGGCCTTGGGCACAATTGGTCGGGACACAGCCGCTTTGCTCAGGGCAGACTGGATGGGCCGGAAGGAGCCTCTCCCTGTGAGAGCAAAGAGACAGCAGACAGTCAGTCCCACACAGCCACGTCTGCTCCCTGTACCACAGGACTGGAGGACCACTTTCACAGGGCTGAGCCATGCTGGATATGCTGGCCAAACGCTTGCCCTCAACATGGGAAGGTGGCCTGGATACCCCTGTGCCTCCCAGGAGCTGCTGAGAGGCTGTGGTCACCACGGTTGTCTTGCAGGAATGGCCCTTTAAGGAACTGCCAGCCTCCGAGGTGGTCAGGGTCTACCCTGCCACACCTTGTGTGGACAGCGGGCAGGACAGGAAGCAAAGACAACTGCACAGACCTCGCGGCAGGTGTGCTGTGAGCACTCAAACTGGTAGAGCCCACGGGCACAGTGTGCCTCAGCAGGAGCCCTGCCTGTGCAGGGGTCACTGCACAAGCCAGGCCCCACTGGATCCAAACACCAGCGAGTGATCCACCTGGATCACACCTGCTCCACAAAGCGCTTGGCCAGACACTACCGGCAGCAACCAGACAGATGCCGCGCTGGAGATCTGAGGAAGCTCCCAGGCCACACCGAGGCCACACCCCCAGGTCTCCCAGGGGGTCATCCTGCTGGCACCGGCAGCCCGTGAGTAACAACGAGAACAGGGCAGCACACTGCCTCTGCAGGAAGGGCCACACTCAGGGAGCAGGAGGGACACCAGCCCAGAAAAGCCCGTCCTTACCAGTTATGGAGGAGTTAGACAGGATGGAGAAGGAGCAGACATTATGGGACTGGCTTTCAGACGGTCTAGGAAGCAGCATTCTCTGCGGAGGAAAATCGCAAACAGTCAAGGTGATGAGAAGACACCAATGCCACACATGACCCCAGAAGCTGGATTCCAAAGAAATACTCCCAGTAGGAGGGAGAGGAGTGTGACGGGATGAAGGTTCTTGTTCTGAAGCCAGTGACACAAGGGCTCGCAGGACAGTCTGAGACCCTAAGCCCCCAAATGCTGGGTCCCTTCTGAAATGCGTGAGGGGTCGACATCTCCCCGAGAGCACTGGAGGCCTGTCACAAGCCTCCCTCACCCAGAGTCTCTGCTGGACTTAGCAGCCAGTGAGGACGGCCTGAGGGGCCTTCCCAGCAGGGCTCCTGGAGCCATGGTGACGACCACTGAGAATCAAATCAGATGGACCAGCAAGACTGCTGGCAGTCCAGACAAAACTGACCAAGGAGGGCCTGTGTCATCGACAGGCCGCAGGGCGCCCCCGGGCACACAGCTGCTGCTCTCTGCCCCAGATAAAGGACCTGGGGCTCATGGGGACATAGCCTCAGCCCCAGGAGAAGCCCATGGTATGGGTGCTGGCAGACAGCAGCAGCACCAACCACGTGCAGACACACGTGTTCTGGGCCTCTTTGTCCCAAAGGCTAAGGCAGGGCTTGGCATGCTTTCAGCGTTTCGGGCTTTGGGGCCACACTCGTGTTGTGCCCTGGTAGAGGGAAATGAATGACTGTGGCTGCGCAAACGCATTAAGTGGGGAGAACACACACTGCCCCATCCCACGTATGGAAGTGCCCGCCCGCAACAGGCAAGTCCTTTAAGACAGGAAGCGGAGTAGCGGCTGTCAGAGGGTGGAGGGGAACAAGGAGAGTTAAGGGCACAGTGCCCCCCCAGAGTGAGGAAAATGTTCTGGGATGACACAGCTGATGGTCACACCACCTTGTAAACTACTAGAAAATGAACTGTACACCTCACTTGTGAACTCCAGGACAGATGGAGCATCTACCAATGAAACTGTCTTACATGACAGAACAATGGACAGGCGGGGTCTGGCCGCTGGGCCATAGTTCCCAACCCTGGACTAAACAGCCACAAAGCTCACACTCTGCCCTTTGGTGTTCTCCCATCTCTGGCGCCCAACACAAACAGCACCAGACTGAGCGTGTCTCCTTCTCCCAGGCCTCACTGTGCAGTCCCCCACTTCTCAGTGAGTGAACCTCCAGAGAAAGAACGCTGCTAAGGCTCTGACGTGAAGAGCTGCTCGTGAACCCACAGACACGGTCCCGACTCCCCACGGGCAGTCAGTTCAGCCTCACTTCCGCCATCAGTTTCCTCAGAACACTCTCTCCCACGTGGCTCCACATGGGGGCCCACGTCCTGTATGGGGGCACAGCAGAGGCCCGGCCTCTGGCCAACTGCTTTGGGAACGGATTGTTTGTACATAGATGTCCTGAGGGTCCTCCAGAGATCCCAATCTGCGGCGCTCTTGGACCCGAACCCCAGAACTCTATCTGCCCTGCGGGGGGTCTTCACCGTGGTCTGAAGACCCCTCTGCTCACAGGTACATGAGGTTCACTGCTAATACTTTGTTCTTATTCACAGGACGGAGGCAGAGCACGGCTTTCCGTGTTTGACCCCAACCGAGAGACACAGGAGAAAGGCTGTGCGCCTTGGCCAGCCCAGCCACTGGGGCTGCCAGAGGCTCTGACCTGGACCACCAGAGGCTTGCGCAGGTGGCGCTTCCGCAACTTCCGGGGCTTTGGCAGGAAGAAATCCGACTGCATCTGCAAGGGAAACAGCACACAGCCTGAAGGTGCGCTCTCCCCAGCACCAGCAGGGGTGAGGGCAGGGGCGGGGCAGGCGGCACTCACGCTGATGGAGTTCAGATGCTGCCTGAAGCTCAGCTCCGCTTCTTTACTGGGAGAGAAGAGCTTCCCGTGCCGACTATTAGGGGGCAGAGTTGTAGGGACAGCAAAAAGGCCACCATCTGAGTCACCGCTGCCTGTGCTGGAGGGACCCGCTACCAAGAGCGGCCGTGGAGGGTTTCTCAAACCTGGGAAAGGAGAAGGAAGGGGGTGGCACTTGCCCCGTAGCAGAGCCAGGGGAGGAGATCCAGAAAGGGATTCTTGGATAACCTGCTCAGTTTTCTGAAAACTTCCTAAACAAGGCATCTTCAGAAAGTTCACAAACACTTGATCTATGGAAAAAACTACACATGAATCTGTGAAGATTTTGCACCCAAAACCCTATCTTTTCATTCCACTCCCCATCTCCGCCCCGAAGATGGCTTTCCTGTCTCTCCCAATGAAATTCTTGTTCCCATTTTGACTGGACAAGAGGTCTCCTGGAGGGGACAAAAGCACTTCAGCACTGGCTCGGTGCCTGGTGGGTAGGCCAGACGCCATCCAAGATGCTTCAGAGCGGATAGGCCTCTCAGGAACGGGAGGCCTCCGGCACTCCACAGGGAACACAGCCAGGGACATTCTCCAAACAGACATCACTTTGGAGAACGAGGACAAACCAGGACATGACACCTGCTCAGACAACAAGCTACTGGATTTTTGGTGTGCCCAGCCACCCCCGCCTGCTGACTCCCTGAGAGCAGAGGGAGGCTGTTTCTTCGGCAGCCCCAGGATATACAGCAGGTATCAGAGCAGAGAGCCAGTGCTGGGGCTGAACTTGCGGATACCCAGAACCACACAGGCACTAGAGGAGAACACCACAGCAGTGTCAAGAGGCCTCCCGGCAAAGGCCAGGACGGGAAGTCCCGGGCCCTGGTCCTCAGCTGTCCGCCACCTGCCAGGTCATTCTTCTCTCACCACAATGGCCTTGGGAAGGACCACATGCCTTCAGGATGAGCCCAGCACACATTCGGCCCCTGCGGCACCCACCTCTTCTGGTGGAGAGAGGTGCCCAGGGCTCACCTGGTGGGGGGGAGCCACACTAAGTATCTAAGTTCTTATTCTACCTTTAAAATTCATGTGGAAGTCGTCATTTTAGCCACACCCATCTGTTATATAAAAACACCAAGGGTTAAAACAGTGCAAATAATGCCACGGTGAAAAGTGCCTTGCTTATCTTGTGGGTCTCAGGCCCTGGTCTCACAACTCAGGAAGCCTGATTTCAAGGCTTCTTGGATACAACTGAGGCAGGGGTGCTGCGGCTGCAGGTCCCTGCAGCCTGCCTTCCGGCACCTGTGCAAGCTGTGCAGTGTCTGTAACGGCACGCTGCCTCACCGCACTGTCTGAGATGCAGAGGGAGTGGTTGTAGGTTCAGGAAAACCAGCCGTCCTCAGAGCTAGAAGCCCCCAAATCTGCACAGCACAGAGATCTTTTCTGGTCTCATGAACCAAGAACCTCAAACTGACCAGGCTGGCAAAGGCCCCATCCTCTGCTTCTTGCTGGCCCCAGCACCTCCCAACCCAGGCCCCATGTTACTGCCCAGCTGCTGGACCGTGGCTGACCAGGGAGCAGGGCGGGCCGCGGGAGCCTCACCTGAGGAGCAGGCCGTGGGGCCCGGCGGGAAGGTCTTGCTGCCACGGAGGGTGGACTGGTTTCGAGGGCAGCGGGGGCTCCGAGAGCTCATGGTCACCATCTTCCCCGGGGGGGTCATCGACTGCTCCTCCTGGGCAGGCCTCATGGAGGCTGTGGACACAGCACTTGCTTCTGGAGCCTGGACATAAATGGGTCAACGATATCCACGCTAAGCACACGGAAATGCTCTGAAGCGAGTACCCCAAGAAGCATGAGGAGGCCCTCAAGAGTTCAGGAGGTGGGGCCGGCGTTCCGGCACCACAGGTAGAGCCCAGGACTGCAGCACCAGCATCCATAGGGATACTAGCTCATGTCCCAGCCGCTCCACTTCTGGTCCAGCTCCCTGCTAACAACCCGGGACAGGCAGCAGAGGATGGCCCAAATGTTTGGGCCCTATACCCATGTGGGAGACCTGGATGAAGCTGTTGGCTTCGGCATGCCCCGGTGCTGGGCACTGTGACCGTTTCGGGAATGAACCAGTACTCAGATTCTCCAAATAAATAATCTTTAAAAAAAAATCATGGGGGAAAAAAAGGATTCAGAAGGTGACCAGGCCTCACAAATCCCACTTCCACGATGGTAAAGGTCAAGGGTCAGGCAGAGACTTCAGCATCCCTCAGTGACTCAGCGATAGTCTGGGAGACCACGAGAGCAGCCCCTCCCCACTCAAGAGACCCCTCCTGCAGCTCCCGTCTGTGTGCGAGGGCAAGGACTGAGGACAGGTGTGGTCAGAAGAGTAATCCTACAGCGAAGGGAGATGGGGAGCGACCAAGGCCTGAAGCCGCCTGGCTGGTCTTTGCCTGCTCTGCCCAGTGCGGGCACTGCGGGGTGAGGGTAGCGCCTTGCCTCTTAGAGAAGCTGGATTCAAAGGCCGGCCTATGACCAACACAAAGGCCACTTCAGTCAGAGGCAGCCGGAGTCCTGCAGCCCCTGGCACAGACGCTGGCACGAGGATGGCCGTCCTCGCTCGCTCTGTGCTCACCTGGCACCCGCGCTGCCCCTGGGGAAACCTGGCAGGAGGCTCGGCTTCTCAGATCTCCTGCTGCTGCTCCAGGCCCTGCCGAGAGCCCCCATGCCAGGCCTTCGGTAGCCCAGGCCCCGTCACAGCCCCACGCCTCTCCACGGGCCCTACCAGGGTTCTGGAGCCCTTCTACATCTCAGCCTTCAGGGACTAGGGCCTTGTGACACACTTGCTGTGACAGTTCCCCTGAACAGGAAGTGGCAGTGTGGGGAGAAACACAGGACAGGCTGTCCATCTCTGTCCCAAGGCCTCCAACCTCAGCCCAGGCCCCTGGGACTGCTCCAGACCCTTCTAACAAGCTCCAGGTGACGGTAATGCTTCTGGCCAGGCCCCTGCCCTGAGCGTCACGGCTCCCAGGCTCCTGCCTGCCAACCCCTGCAGCTGGTTCTCCACCCAACCCACTTCCTCTTGCAGCTGACGCCAGGGGTTGGGCCTCCACCATGTTCCAGATCTCCCATTAACTCCAGTGGCCTCCTCCAGAGCCTTGGACACTTCACATCTCCTAACACCCCCACGGTAAACTTGAGACACTCAAACTCCATCTGCCTGCTTCCACTCACTGACCCCAATCACTCTGCGGCCAGGCACAGCCAGGGGCTACCTCCACTAACAGGCCCGATCTCGGGGTGCCTGGGGCTTAGGCCCAGCCCCCAGAAGACATGTGAGAACCCCTGACAGCAGTGTGGAGAGCACTGGCAGGGGCACAGCTGGAGAAGGGCAGAAGTCACCATGTGCACCAAGGGCAGGCAGGTGCGGGCGCCACGTGGCTGGAGCGCAGGCAGCTGGGGAATCACACAAGCGCTCAGTGCCTGGAGCGCCCATCCCCACAGGACACACTCAGCCTTCCATGTGGCCCGGAACACGAGACTGCTGTCAGCTACACAGCGCGCTCCCCAGGGACTCCCCAGGGACACTGGCTGCAGCTTCCATGCCTGCTCCTGCATTCGTCTAAACCCCGCGTACACAACGCCGTCTCGGGGCCTCGGGCCTCGGTCTGGCTCTCCTGCGCTCGGGAGACCCCATGTGTACTCGAGACATGAAGGACAGGGAAACCCCTTCAGCAGGGCCGCCTGCGGCCAGTCTGCGGGCTCTGCGGACCACCTCCTGGTAAGCGTCACACGCTGCTCTTCCCCATGCCCCCAGCACACGCCTCCAGCAAGGGTCCCCACTGCTGACCTCGGTTCTGGAACAGCAACCGCTCTCTCTGGCATCACCACGCATGGCCTGCACCGCAGCAGGCTCGACCTGCCCCTCCCCTGCAGAAACCTGCTAGGTTTTTCGGACAACTGACCTCACCGCTGCCCTCACACTGCCCACACGCCCTTCAGCCTGCACGCGCAAGGCCTGGCAGACTCCCAGGCACGGACAGGACCAGAGCACAGCCTGTCACTGTCATCCTCTTCGGAGCCCCACAAGATCAGCCCTGCATCCCACTGTGTTCCCCAGGCCTCGCAGGGAAAGATCCTGACCCAAGAGAAAGCAGCATGGCTGGCAAAGGGCCTCCGCCTCGTTACGTGGGGCCCTGCTCCCCTGCCCCGTGGTCGCTGCCTGCTGGCCACGGAACTCAGCTTGGGAGCGGACATGAGCAGCCCCACAGGACAGGCCCAGGGGCTGACCTCAGGGGAGAGGAGTGGACATGAGCAGCCGCGCAGGACAGGCCCGCCCACTTACAGCTTGGGGCTGACCTCAGGGGAGAGGAGTGGACATGAGCAGCCCCGCAGCCCCGCAGGGCAGGCCCGCCCACTTACCAGCTTGGGGCTGACCTCAGGGGAGAGGAGTGGACATGAGCAGCCCCGCAGCCCCGCAGGACAGGCCTGCCCACTTACCAGCTTGGGGCTGACCTCAGTGGAGATGAGCCTCAGGAGGCAGCTGAGGAGCCGCTGCCTGTGGACAGCGGGCGGGGAGCCGGGGCGGCCCTCGGGGCCCAGCACGGCCAGCCAGTCGTACTCCAGCTGCAGCTTGCTGGGCTTGCCCATCATGAGGTAGACTTCGGCCAGCGTAAGGCTTTCGGAGGTCTGCAGGTTCCAGCCCTCCTCCCGGAGCTGCTGGGCCAGCCGGCTGGCCGGGAGCTCCTTCGGGGGCCTGGTGGGAGGGGGCTGTCCCTGAGGCGGTGGCTCCGAGAGGCTTCCCTTCTCCCTGGGCTCCTCCACGGGCGTGTCTGGGCAGTCTTTAGTGCAAACGTCTGGTGGGAGCCCAGGGCCGGGCAGAGGCTCTGGGCCAGGTGGGATGAAGTCGGCAGCCTCCTCACCGCCGGGGACACGCGTCTCTGGGGAAGCGGCCGCACTCGGAGGAGGGGGCTCCCTCCCAAGCCGTGAGTCCGCACAGCGGCACTGCTCCGGGACGATGAGGTCCTGACAGGACTTCAGGTAGCGGGGCAGCGGGTCGAGGAGCGAGAGCTCGTCATCCAGGTCTGGTAGCTGGCCACAGGTACATGGCAAGGACCCTGGCTCCCGCGTGGGGCCATCCCCACTGTCAGCCAGGGCCCGGGAGGTCTTCTCAAGCTGCACCCCCACCTCCTGGTGCCCAGGGGAAGGCCTGTCAGTGGCGTCTGGGCTGCTCAGGCATGGTGCAGCCCCCTCCCCAGGACCACTTTCGGGGGAACTCTCTCCAGAGCTCTGTGAGGCATCGGTGGGAAGAGGCCGCCCCCCACCCTTGCCCTCGGCACCGCTGCGAGGGCACTTCACCTGGCCTCGGGCTGTCCCCTGCCCGCTCTGGATGCCCAGGATCTGGGCGGGGGGCAGCGTGTGAGTGTCCTTTGAGTTCTGCTTGCACCGGCCGCCCTCCTGCCAGTGCACGGTGCAGAAGGCCTTGGAGTGCACCACGCGGGCCACGCCGGGCAGCGGTGTCAGCGTGCAGTTCTCGCCTGGGAACAGGTGCAGGGTCACCCTTTCCTGTGCTGGTGTGCTGCACGGGCCCTGCACCTGATGCTCCTCCAGCGTCTTGCGCTGAACACACCGTCAAGGAACCACCCCAACAGCGCACCCACCCTGCAGGGCAATGAGAGCGAGGCTGCCCCACACCGTCAGTGCTGGGGTCACGCACCCTTTCCTCACGCCAACCCCGGGCAACGTGCACCTGTCAGTCACCTTGCGGACCTGGGGAATGGGCAGGGCCAGCCCAGCGACATCAAAGAGGCATCAAAATGGGTCCCTCAGCCACATCCCATGGGCCAGGTGTCTGACCACACAGACTGGGGCTGTCCAGGCCCAGGGAAGGCTCTGGTTTTAGTTCTAACTCCACATCACAACCCATGGGGCCCCACACCCGAGCAGCAGATGTCAGGAAAAAGATACAATCCGCACTTCGTGCAGCGCCCACTTCTGCTTCAGGAACTCGATGAGACTGGAGACCTTGCGGTGCAGCTCCACAATCATCCTGCAGACGACAGGGCGTGAGGCTCCCACAGGCCTCGGGAGCCACCGGGCTGCAGACTTAGCGTCTGACCTCAGCTCTGACACGAGAAATGCCGAGAGGGACAGCGGGGCTTTGTGGAGACGGTAAGGAAGAGTTTGGAGCTGCCCTTCCTTCCCACAATTCTTAGCGAGCCCTCAAGAGGGTCCCAGCTGTGCCCCAGACCGCTGGAGTCCCAGGACCCCATGCCAATGCCTTCCCGCACCCCACCGTCCTCACGTGCTGCTCTCACAAGAGGGTATGTGAGGGAGGGCCACACACGGCCCCTAGAGCCCTGTCCAGGCGCTGACGGCCTCCACGCGCACGGCCAGGGTACCTGAGGCGCGGGTTCTGAGCAAGGCTCTGCACGCGGGCCCACGCGTGGTTGTTCCGTGGCTGGAGCTCCACAGGAACTTTGAGGGGTAGGCGCACTGGCTTCTGGTCCTCCTCGTCACTCAAGCCTACGACAGGGACGGAACAGGTCAGTTCAGCATGTGCCCGCTGACAGTCAGACAGCTGTGGGCAGAGACAACTGGGTGGCGGAGAGACCCTGACAGAGGAGGGAGGAATGCCAGACCACCCACACTCTGCAAAGGCAGGCCACAGACCAGGCCACGAGACACTCCAGGCAGTGGCTCAGGGCTCACTCTTTCTAGATGTCCCACGGCTTCTAGTTAAGCTGGACTTACAGAGTGGACATGCTGCTGGAACCAGGAGCTTCCAACTCCAGAGCTGTCCACTCACGGGACTGGGATTACAGACTCAGACACAGAAGAGCACAGCTCAGCCTGTCCATCGCGCTGTGGAGCACGCAAAGGCCAGCTGTGGTGTGGGGCTGCAGGACGCTCACGTACCGTCAGGGTCACAGAGCTTCTTCAGAGCCCGACACATGGGTGCTTTGATCCGCAGATTTCTCCCCTTGTAGCGCACTGTCGTAGCCCTGGGGAAAGAATTGGGAAGAGACACTGAGCCTGTGCACAAACGGAAGGAAGGGCCAGTGGCGAGGTGCACTGAGCTGCAGCAGGCGGGACTAGGCCTTCCCAGGACAGAGGACAGAGGCCCCTCTGTGCCTCCCAACAACAGACTCCTGCTGTTCCCAGGAAACAGCGGTGCCTTGCTCGGCATGGGCGGGTCCCATCTCTGGGACAGCCCTGCTCTGCAGTTTGTCGGACGCCAGCCATCGCTCCACCTGGATGTAACTCCCTTGCTCCATCAGCACCGTCCCTCAGGACCCAGGAGACTCACAGCCTACGTAAACCACCACCTACAGCTGGGCCAGGGGCTGGAGGCCTCCCCCCATCTGTTTGCCACAGCTGTAGGAAAACGGGAATTACACAAAGAAATACTACGTAATTAAGGAATCAAGAAAAATAGTTGTTTTAAAAATATGGTGGGTGGGGGACAGATGCTGTGGCATGGTAGGTTAAGCCTCAGCCTGCAGCACCAGTACCCCCATGTGAGCGCTGGTTCTGTCCTGGCTGCTCCACTTCCGATCCAGCTCTCTGCTGTGGCCTGGGAAAGCAGTGGAGGATGGCCCAGATCCTTGGGCCCCTGCACCCACATGGGAGACCTGGAAGAAGCTCCTGGCTCTGGATCAGCTCAGCCCCCACCATTACAGCCATTTAGGGAGTGAACCTGTGGATGGAAGACCTCTCTGTCCCTCCCTCTGCTCTGTCTGTAACTCTGCCTCACAAATAAATAAATAAATTTTTCTTTAAAAAAAAAAAATGATGGGTGGTCAAGTTAATGTAGATAAGACAAATAAAGACTGAGATATTTGAATATACTCAAGTCTCCTTGCTCTGGGCCCAAAGTTCTAGGTGTTTTTTACATTTTTATTCTATTTATTTATTTGAAAGAGTTACAGTAAGAGGACAGAGAGATTCTTCTACTAGTTCACTCCCCAAAGAGCCACAACGACCAAGGATGGGTCTGGCTAAAGCCAGGAAGCTTTGTGGGGTCTTCCAAATGGGTGGCAGGCCAGGCACTTGGGCACCTCCCACTGCTTTCCAGGGCCAGAGAGAGAGCTGGAGCAGAAGTGCAGCAGCCGGCACTTGAATCAGCACCCACATGGGATGGCGGCACTGCAAGTGAAGGTTCGACCTGCTGCGCCACAGCGCCGGCCCTTTTTGCTTGGTTTTAAAACTGGAAGTCACAAAGAATGCATCTTCTTTGGAGTTTCTGAAAAATAATGAAATTCCAAGGCGTGCACAGCAGCGGAGCGGCTGGTGAGTGAACGTGGGCCTCCGTCTTACAACGTGCTCAGGGTATGCATTTACTGTTTTATGCCTTTCTCTTTCATCAACGTGCATGACTGCCCAACTCCTAGCTGCAATCAGGTAAGAGGAAGAGCGCTGCACCGGTCCCAGCTGCTCAGTTGTTACCAAACAGCGCTGTGGCACAGCAGGTAAAGCTGCTGCGTGAGCGCCGGCATCCTGTATGGCCGCTGGTTTGGGTCCAGCTGCTCCACTTCCACTCCAGCTCTCCGCTATGGCCTGGGAAAGCAGGAGAGGATGGCCCAAGTTCTTGGGCTCCTGCACCCGTGTAGGAGACCTGGATTAAGCTCCAGGCTCCTGGTTTCTGATCGGCACAGCTCCAGCCATTGAGGCTATTTTGGGAGTGAACCGGGATGGAAGACTTCTCTTTCTCTCTGCCTCTGCATCTCTGCCTTTTAAATAAAATAAATCTTAAAAAAAAAAAAATAGTGAAAAAAGTCACAGTACACCAATGGTAAGATGACTGACACGTCAATACAGAAGATTCTATTCAAATCCATGCATACTTATACATGCATCTGTGCATGTGAATTTCCTAGGAAAAAAACTGAGATGGACACACATGAAATTAGCACAGCGCTTATTTTGTTTTAAAGATTTTTTTATTTGTTTGAAAGATAGAGTTATAGACAGTGAGAGGGAGACAGAAAGGTCTTCCATCTGTTGGTTCACTCCCCAAATGGCCACAAGGGCGGGAGCTGTGCTGATCTGAAGCAGAGAGCCAGGTGCTTCTCCCGGGTCTCCCACACGGGTGTAAGGGCTGAAGCGCTTGGGCCATCTTCTACTGCTTTCCCAGGCCACAGCAGAGAGTGGGATTGGAGAGGAGCAGCCAGGACTAGAACCAGCGCCCACATGGGATGTCAGTGCTGCAGGCGGAGGATGAACCTATTGTACCATGGCGCTGGCCCCTCACAGTGGTTATTTATAGTGAGAAGAATGGGATGGGATGGTAGGGACAATCTTATATTTGTATTGTCTGAAACCTATGAAAACATATTTACATATTACTTGTACAAATTTTTTTTGTCATACTTTATTTTTTAAAGTTTTATTTAATATAAATTTCAAAAGTACAACTTTTGGATTATAGCGGATTTTCCCCCCATAACCACCCTCCCACCCACAAACCATCCCATCTCCTACTCCTTCTCCCATCCCATTCTTCATTAAGATTCATTTTAATTATCTTTACATAGAGATCGACTTAGTATATACTAAGTAAAAATTTCAAGATTGCACCCACACAATGTATAAAGTACTGTTTGAATACTACTGTAACCGTTAATTTGCATAGTACAACACATTAAGGACACAGATTTTACATGGGGAATAAGTGTACAGTGACTCCCATTGTTGATTTAACAACTGACACTCTTATTTATGATGTCCGTAATCACCCGAGGACCTTGTCATGAGCTGCCAAGGCTTTCTTGAGTTCACAAACTCCGACCTCATTTATAAGGCCATCATCAATGTAGAAGCTCTCCTCCCTTCAGAGAAAGGCACCTCCTCCTTTGACGGCCCCTTCTTTCTGCTGGGATCTCCCTCAAAGAGATCTTTCATTTAGGTCTTCTTTTTTATTTTTTTTGCCACAGTGTCACTGCTTTCCATGCCTGAGAAACTTTCATAGGCATTGTAGCCAGAACCAAATGCCTTAATTCTGATTCTGAGGCCAGAGTGCTGTTTAGGGCATTTGCCAATCTATGATTCTGCTGTGTATCCTGCTTCCCATGTTGGATCGTTCTCTCCTTTTTAATTCTACCAATTATTATTAGCAGACACCGGTCTTATTTATGTGATCCCTTTGACAGTCTTATCTATATGATCAATTATGAACTTAAACTGATCACTTTAACAAGATGGCATTGGTACCTGTCAACTTAATGGGATGTGGAGTCCCATGGCACGTTTCTAGCTCTACCATTAGGGGTAAGTCCGAGTGAGCATGTGCCAAACTGTACAACTCCTCCCTCTCTTATTCCCAGTCTTATTTTTAACAGGGAACACTTTTCAGTGAAATTCGAACACCTAAGAATAATTGTCCATTAATTAAAGAGTTCAACCAATGGTATTAAGTAGAACAAGAAAATACTAAAAAGAATGAGAAAGTGGGCTGTTCCTCGACAGGACAAGGGCTGATCAAGTCACTGCTTCTCATAGTGTCCACTTCACTCCTACAGGTGTCCTTTTAGGTGCTCAGTTGTCACATATCAGGGAGAACATGTGATATTTGTCCCTTTGGGTCTGGCTTATTTCACTCAGCATGATGTGTTTCAGATTCCTCCATCTTGTTGCAAATGACTGGATTCTTTTTTTTTTTTTTACTGCTGTATAGTATTCTATAGAGTACATATCCCTTAATTTCTTTATCCAGTCTTCTGTTGATGGGCACTAGGTTGATTCCAGGTCTTAGCAATTGTGAATTGAGCTGGAATAAACACTGAGGTGCAGACAGCTCTTTTATTTGCCAATTTAATTTCCTTTGGGTAAATTCCAAGGAGTGGGACGGCTGTGGTAGGGCTATATTCAGGTTTCTGAGGAATCTCCAAACTCACTTCCATTGTGGCTTTACTAGTTTGATTCCCACCAACGGTGAGTTAGTGTCCCTTTTTTCCCCACATCCTTGCCAGCATCTGTTAGTTGATTTCTGTATGTGAGCCATTGTAACCAGCGTGAGGTGAAACCTCACTGTGGTTTTGATTTGCATTTCCCTGATGGCTAGTGATCCTGAACATTTTTTCATGTCTGTTGGCCGTTTGGATTTCCTTTTTTTATGACAGGCAGAGTTAGACAGTCAGAGAGAGAGACAGACAGGTCTTCCTTTCCACTTGTTTACCCCCCAAATGGCGGCACTGCGCCAATCCGAAGCCAGGAGCCAGGTGTTTCCTCCTGGTCTCCCCTGCGGGTGCAGGGTCCAAGCACTTGGGCCATTCTCCACTGCCTTCCCAGGCCACAGCACAGAGCTGGACTGGAAGAGGAGCAACCGGGACAGAATCCGGCGCCCTGACTGGGACTAGAACCCGGGATGCCGGCGCTGCAGGTGGAGGATTAGCCTACTGAGCCGCGGCACCAGCCAAGGATTTCCTCTTTTGAAAAATGTCTATTTAGGTCCTTGGCCCATATCCTAAGTGGGTTCTTTGTTTTGTTGTTATGGAGTTTCTTCATCTATTTGTAGATTCTGGTTATGCATCCTTCATTAGTTGCATAATTTGCAAATATTTTTCCCATTCTGTCAGTTGCCTCTTCACTTTCCTGTTTCTTTTGCAGTACAGAAACGTCTCAATCTGATATAATCCTAATCATTAATTCTGGCTTTGACTGCCTGTGCCTCTGTGGTCTTTTCCAAGAAGTCTTTGCCTGTGCCTATATCTTGCATGGTTTCTGCAATGTTTTCTAATAATTTGATGGTGTCACGTCATAGATTTAGATCTTTAATCCATGTTAAGTGGATTCTTGTGTAAGGTGTAAGGTAGGGGTCTTGCTTCATACTTCTGCACGTGGAAATCCAGTTTTCACAGCATTATTTGTTGAATAGACTGTCCTTGCTTCAGGAATTGGTGTTAGATCCTTGATCAAATATAAGTTGGTTCTATTTGTTTGATTTCTGGTGTTTCTATTCTGTTCCACTGGTCTATCCATGTTTCTGTACCAGTACCAGGCTGTT